AAGCCCAACCGATACCCGGCCCGATGGTTTTCATAGTTGACAAGTCACATTATCTGCGAGATCGCAGCGCTGGAAACGTCTTCACGCACATCACGCACCCCACTGCTCCCGGTTTCCAAGACATACAAAGCTCATTCGCTGACTTTTTTTTTTTTTTTTTTTTTTTTTTTTTTTTTCTTTCTGCGCCCACCGCCTGGCTAACTTGTACTTTTGCAGATATCTGTTTCGAGCCCAAAGGCTTTGTGAAAGCGCATTGGTTTTTGCGAGATGCCGAGAGGCAGAGCAGGATAAATCATTAGTCATCTGTTGTGCAGAGAAGACTCGTCCGTAACCTGCACTGATATACTCAGTACAGAAAACACACGCAAAAGGACAAGTTTACCCGTCCTTGTCTTAGCAAGGTGACATTTCGCTAGGGCCAATCGAGGTCGTACTCGGGCCCAAAACATGACAACTTACAAAGTCAGCAAGCATTGTGCAAATAATCTGACAATTTTCCATTGTCATCAGTCGACGTGGCAGTCAACAGAGCGTAAGCGTGTTTCTTTCTAGCTCTGCTTGCCAGTCACCCAGCCAGTATCATCGCGGGCTGCTGATATGCAGAAAGCCAACCAACTACGTGAGACGGTGCCAGAAATCTATCGGGTTTTCCACCTCTGTCTTTCTCTTTCTTTCTTTCTTTTTTTTTTTGTGATCAACGGGTTGTGGCGCCATCTCAAATGGCCTTTTGTCTCATCCCAGGTTGACAAGGGTCGGGGGGGGGGAAGGCCAGACGTTCGACGTCTTCAACTTTTGGTTCAAATGGGAAATGATCGCTTTACAGAGCGGAAACGAGATCGATCGAAAAAAAAAAAACTCTCCTTCCACCCAGCCCATATGGAGCCAATCCCGCCATTGGGGGCCTTAATAGTGGGCTCCCAGCCGAGCGTAAAGAAAGACGGTTTTAGCTAACACCAGCCAGCACATTTCGACGCCAATGCCGTCCGTGGGCTTTGAAAAGAGTGTCCCCGTTCCGACCGTGATCTGGCCCACGGCTGAGAGACCTGGAAGGGCTACCACTCACTCCCCCCCCTCCCCCTCCCCCCGGTCCCCTTTCCTCCACCCGGCCTGGGCGCTATCGCAAGTCGCAAGTCGCATGTATTTCCTTTTCTGGGCCGATTCATAGACTGATGTTTATGCAAACTAGCTTTTGAGCAGGGGAGCAGTATGTCGTGGCGACTCACAGATTGGTCTTTGTAAGGGCAACACCTCAGAAGCGCCACCCGTTAGACTATATATCAGGAACCCTACCCCATTCATGTGTTTCTGGCCAGTCCTTATTCGATTAGTATATCGTTTCAAAGCTTGAGCGAATTCCGACAATCCAACTTTGCTTGAGCCCACAATAACATTGATATCAACTCTGATCTCTCCAATACTAGTGCTTGATTCGCCTTCCTCTGCACACCAAGCTGAACACCCTGCACAACTCTCTCACAGTTTAAACACTGGGACCTTTTTGCTCTCAACTTCATGTGAAAAGTCGCATTTGACCAAGTGTTTTGAGCTTTTCCAAAACCGAAACTACTCTTCTGTTGGGCGTCCAGACTTGAATCACCAACTCTCATTCATATAACCTCGATCCCGGCTCAAGCGGCAACATCTCCAAAAGTCATACGGCCAGACCTAGGAGCATGACAAGACGCTTGTAAACTACAAGCAGTCTCGACATCAGTCAACACCGTTTTTTCTTCTTCTTCTTGAATACATGAAAGCGAGCATCGACAGAGCGAGTAGACGAGATTTGAATCCAGCACCAATGCCTTTTCAACATGTAAGTTGGCTTCAGTAATTGGCCGTTGACATATCCATCAACATCACTTTCCAATCCAAAAAGAACTGCGAAAAAAAAAGGAAAAAAAAAAAAAAACTAAACTGCAAATCGTTCTTTGAATCTCTTTCTTATTTAGCCTTTTCAGGAAGCTCAGTTTGACATTTTTGACTGGTATCCCAAATTCCGCGAATGCCAAACCCACTTTATCCAGCATGCGCAGCACACCGACGAGGTGCAGGCCGTGGCCGCCTTTGTAAATATCCTGCTGCCCTTTCAAAAAGCCACGCCCCCTCGAAGCGACTCAACCGCGCGTGGTTTACCCCCCTCATCATCATCAAACGACGACAACAACAACAAGAACAACACCACCGAGACGACCTCGACCAGCGGCTGCGGTAGCGGCGGTGGTGCCGTCGTGGCGCTCGTGCCCTACGTCCGCCGACTCGTCGCCACCGGCTTCGACACGCCTGCCGTGCTGCACGGCTTCTTTGGCGACGACTGGGCCGAGGGCGTCGGACCCATGCACGACATGGAGCGGCGCAACTTTCTCTTTGCGGCCAAGTCGGGGGACTGGGTCAAGGTCAAGTCGAGCTACGACGTCGGAGCCGGTCAGATGGTGCCGTTTCTGCGACCGCTGCAGGGCGCGACCGAGGGCGAGATTCAGAGCGCAGAGGCGAGCTGGAGCGAGTGGCTGGCGATGCAGGACTGGATGCTGGGACCGCGCGCGCCGAGTCACGCTGGAGCAGGTGGCTAAATGATGAAATACCTAATAGCCCAGATCCAGATGTGGGGAGAAAAAGGATCCGACGAAGCTGGAATGGGGGGGGGGGGCCTGACTTTAACGCGCGCGCGCGCGGCGCTTGCCCTGACGATGGCTGGCTGGCTGGCTGACCGTAGAAGGTCTTGACCAAGCGAGCCAGGCCGCAAAGGAACCTCGAGTGCTTTATAAATTATAGAACATTAAGATATTAGCCCCGCGTTGATGTTGATGCATATGATGGGCCTCAAAGAGTGCATTGTCTTCCATGAACAAGAATGAATAACACAATTTACGAGTCAAAAGTTAAAACAGTTGATGCAAGTGTCATCTAGTAGCGTCTTTCGAGGAGCTTGGGAAAGCTCCATCTCTAGCCTTTGCTGCCGAGGAATTCCAAATGTGGGCTAATTCAGAGAAGAAAACGTTTTGAGTTGTAGTAAAAGTTGAAATTTCGTCAAACTTCCCGCTATCCCGAAGGAAAAAAACAAAAAGCTTGCGACTACTTACATGTACAACATTTGACCTGACTGCGTCAAACATATCAGGCCAAACAAACAGTAATTGCCTGCCTGCCTCCTCCCTCCCAGAAGGGCTAAAAGAATATGCCATCCAAAAAGTGCGAATCAAAATTAAGAGGAAAAACCACCACCAACCTAGATGCACCCTTCCGACGCCAAAAAACTGTGAACCCTTGCTTTGATGATCCACTCTAGTAATATTTGTTGCCCTTGTCGTTTTTTTTGCGTCTTGACTGCCGCGCGCGCGAACCAAATGTTTGTTGAAGACGAAGATGTAGAAAGAAGCTGTCCGCTGCGACGGGGGTGGTGGAATCGCAGTTCAAAGACAAAGAGAGGAAATAGACAAGAAAAGAAAAAACCCAGTATTTTGGTCGCCATGTCTTTGGCCCCCCCCCAAACCAGCCGTTAACATGCCTTGCTTGATTCCTAAACGCCGCCGAAAACAACATGACTCAGTCGAGGTAAACACAACATGCCTGCCTTGGGTGATCCAATCTGCAGCATGCCTCTCAGAATATTCCCTCCCATTCCCTGATTAAAACGGTATGCCCGCAATCTCTCTCCAGGACATCAACATCTTGGGGGGGACGAGCTTCTCTCGTGTAAAGTACAGCCTGCTGCAGCTTCGGTCTGACGAGTTGCTGCGCAGAAAAAGCGAATACCACGGCTAATTAAGGAATCCCTTACATGCTGCGGTGCCGCACAGACATGGGATCCGATCCAAACTGCCAATCTCGCGTTCGAATTTGTAGTCGTATGTCAGTTCTTCGTCTGCAACAAGTCCAGTTAGTCAATGTAGCGTCATAAATTACGTAAAGCGAACTTACTCATGGCAATCTCACGAAGCGCATAAATGACAATACGTTTGCTGCCCTCGACCTTGATAATCTTGGCCGTGCAGTTTGGCAAGCAGCTGTGGTTTATGAAGCGTGCAATGCCACCCTTTTTGGTGGCGTCAATAACCGTGTTTTCGTCGATACGGAACAGGTAACTGCTGCCAATGCCGCTCTTGAGATAACGATTTTCCCGAATCTCGGAAATTTGTTGACGGACTTCTTCGCCAACGTACTCAATAATCATGTCATCCTTGTGAATGTCTTCCATTGTGTACAAGCCCCAGTTGTGGATAGCAGATCTGGCAAACTTGACAGGCTTCTTCCGCTTCTTAAGCTGGTTGAATTTGAACACGTCAGAATCTTGGCCCAGAGTCTTCTTTTGATCGTTCAAATCCGCGACATATCGGCGATTAGTAGCTCTGTTGGCTCTCGAGTTGCCCTTGGCGACCAACTTGTCTGCTGCAATCTTGGAAGCGTCCACTGAAGTAGCGACAGAATCTTTGCCATTCTTGACGCGCGCCTCTCGCTCTTCCCGTACCTTTTGCACCTTGATGTGATGTGGCAGGTACTTGGACTTTTCCGAGTTGAGGATCTTTTTGACGCCTTCTGTTCGTGCACAGCCCGTAGGATTCGGAACATAATACCCGCCGATAGATATTGGCTTGTGTGTGGATGAGTGGCTCGTATTGAGTTGTCGGATTCGCTGTTTCTGCCAAAGCCAGAGGTCGGCGTTGCCGACGTCGGCCGTCTGAAACTTTTTCCCTAGCTTCGCCATGTCCGGGACGTCCTTGGCGCCGAGACGCAGAAGCTCAAGGGCTGAAATATCAGGCTTGAAACTGTCCGGTAGGAGCAGTGCTTTAGACACTGGCTCTGTAGAAAACAAACGTTCGTCATATTTCTGTGGTTCCCGCGCTGTTGGGATGGGCTTTTTGGGTGTGCTCTGCGGCTCAGGTGTTTCGTCGTCATCTGCTTTCTGGGACCAATTCTCTTGCTCTTCGAAAGCCTGTTTGGCAATGGATGACGTGGGCTTGGTAGACTTTTTCTTGGCTCCCTTGGGTACAATTGAGAGCGGCGTTTGCGACCTCGAAAGACTGCTGTCATTATCATCCGCCACATCAGCTTCCACGCTGACGTCTTCAGATAGGTCCGTCTTGGCATCGTCGAATCTAACCCCGAAAGCATCTTCGTCCAGCTTCTTCTGGCGTTTCGAAGCAATGTCAGCAGCCGAGACAAGCTTCCGCTTCTTGGACAAAGACTTGTCCACTACTGCCAGACTGGCTTCTGTCATGGAATCGTCCTCATTTGGAGCCCAATTGTCTTCATCCGTGCTCATGCGGCTCTGTGGGCGAGATGCGCTACCCTCAGCCTCGGCTGCCGCGAGAGTCTTTGCATCAGTGTCATCATCTGACTCGAAATCACTGTCAAAGCTCTTGAGCCGGTGATGTAGGGATCTAAAGGCTGGTCGAGAGACAGAGGCTCGTTTCCGCGAAAACGGATCAACAAATGTGCTGCGATATGCTGCTCCCTTGGCTTTGGATTTGCGAATCTTGGGCAATGCGCCGACTTCAAACCTCCCAGTTCTGCGCTCGATAGGATCTGCACGCGAGTTCGGAGTTCCCATTCTCGAAGTGTCGAACGCATCTGTCAAGGCAGCCTCGTCTTCTTCCTCAGCCACATCGATATTGAGCTGACGGCGCTTAGCAGAGTGATTGGCCGGATCGAGAAAGTCGGAAAGCGAAGGAGCAGCGACTTGCGTTCGGATGTGACGGATCAAATGTTCCATCATCTCTCGTTGCACAACCTGGACGGCCTCCATGACGGGATCAAAGTTTTTAGCTCGTTGTTTCCTCTCTTCTTCAATGTCGGCTTCATCCTCTCGTCGGCGTCGGTTTGCATCCTCTTCGGCCCTGAGCTGTTCCGCCCGGCGGCTATTGCGCTCAGGGCTGGGACTTCTTTTACGATCCACAGGCGTTGTAGCTCGCGTTCTAGGCAAGCAAAGCTGCATGGACATGTTGTATGTGAAGAACTCTGTATGGTTGACAGCTCGAAAGCAACGCTCAGCCTCCATCTTTCCGGTGAAAGAGTTTTTGAAAATGACATAATAGCCAGTTTTGTCGATGCGAATGTCGTCAAATGCATAGTTCTTCAATCGCTTCTTCATGTGCGGCAGGATGCTCGTGAGTAGGGGAACACTTTGAGAATCGATGAAGATGTAGGGTTCGTTCGCAAGTTGGGCAGATATATCTCTCGACTCGAAGTTCGCCGCGCGACTTGCAGGTGGAGGAGGCGGAGTTGATTGTGCTACCGGTGACTGTAGTGGTCGCGAAATAGCCGGCCCCTTCGGGCCTGTTGGCGGTGGCCTCGCAAATGAGACCGGGGATGGTTTGATTTCGGCCGACGTCTTTGCAGAAAGTGCAGCCTGCGCTATCTTCTCCCTCTCTATTTTCTCTCGCTCACGGCGTAGATGGCTCTCCAGCATCCTCCGACTTCTTCTACCTTCGGGGTCATACTCAACTTTGACCATTTCCGAGTCCACTTTGAGACCGCGCGCCTGAACAGCTCGCCGCGCCGCGTCAATGGCAGATATTGAAGGTCGGTCGGTACGCTTGGTGTCACGGTAGCGAATGGTAGCAAAGCCCAGGTAGCTACCAGTTTCAGGGTGCATCTTATTGCTGCTCTCAGCGATATCGCCAAACGTGGCGAAGATGGCTGTTACTTTGTTAAAAGGTATCAGCGGGTTATATCTGGTGACGACAATTTGTGTCGGTGGCCCAGGGCCGATAGATGTTTTGGGATCATATGGGTAGGGCTTCAGATTTTCAGGAGCCGGAGAAAAGCGCGATCGCGGTAAGTAGAAGTCGGTATTAATATACCCCAGCCGGCCGCCTTTTGCTAGGCGCGGATCTTGGGGCGCGGGTGTATCATCGAGTCCAAATTCTCTGTAAACAGGCTTCGCGGACTTGCTGACGGCTTTGTTGCGTAAGCGATCGAGTATCGGGTCGTATGTGCATTTTCTCCCCTTGACTGAAGATCCAGGCTCTCGTGCAACCTCACGCTCTATTCGCAGCGGATCGCTAGGCGCCGAATGAGATCTCGACTCGGCCCCGTTGGTAGCCGGCTCCGCCTTGAGAGGTATAGACCCCTTATAGAGTGAGGTTGTAGAATTGGAGTGATGAAGAGGTGATGAGACGGTGGGAGCATGTGAGACGCGAGGGGTGCCCGAGGTGGGTAATCGGGCCGCAGCATTGCTGAAAAGCGATGAGGAAGAGCTTGTGTGTGAGCTAGTAGAGTCGACAGTGCTGGGTATGTCACCGAGCGGAGAGTCATCATCGCCCTGGTGTGTTGGCATCACGCTGCCCCCGTTGACTTGCGACCGCGAGAGAGCGTCCGATGCATTATCATGTGTAACGGAACTCAGGGTAGATGATTCGGCACTATCGGTGATTTGCCTGATTCTGTCGCGATCACTCCGGCCCTGCGCCTCGGCTCTGACTTTCGGAGCGTTGGGAAAGAATTGCGCAAAGCTCACGCCTGGTGGCGGGCGAGTCATCGTGCCGATGCGCTCCTGCTATCTTTTATGGCGTGCTTCGGTCATTATACCGCGGAAAAAGGCGAGACGACCGGGTACAAGATTTGTGGGTGTTGCTTGCAGAAGGACTTTTTGATGCGTGCGTGGATGTCCAGTTCACGCGACCGTCTGGGTGGAAAGAAAGCCTGAGTGGCAGCGAAGCGCAGTCTAGCTTTTCGGCGCGGGCACAGGTGGCGCAGAGCAGATAATTTTGTTATGAAAAATAATTTGTATAGCGACGCTGAGTGCGACCACGAGACTTGAGCTTTCAGCCTCAGTTCGGCGGTTTTGCGGCCAGGACGCAGTGACAGAAGTTTGGGAGGATGGAGGTTTGACTTGCGGCACGTCCAGGGATGGCGATTTCATTCTGGGTCTTCCAAGCGCGTGGAAGAACTCCACACCGCAACCACGCATCATAAGTGGGCTACGGATAATCCATTGCCCGACCCGTTCTTGTACCACTTTCCCCTAATGCGGCGGCTGGTCCTCAGGAAATCAGATGCCCATCTGAGCTGCAGATGACCTCGAACTACACGCTGTTTATCCGTATATGTCATGCAAAAAGGAAAACCGTCATTAATTACTGTCTGTAACCTACAGGTTCTGCATCGCTTCAATAACGCATGCCTATCATTAGTCCCCTCTAGAGAGTGGGACGGCCGTCCTTGTCCAAACGCCATTCCAATTTATCATGTACTCTTACAAAAAAGACATCTTCTGCCCATTCAGACATCAAGCTTCAGCTCAAATGTCTCATCATCAGAGTCAATCAATGGGCCGTTGAGAGTCACCGGTTCCGCATCATCCTCGTCGTCATAGAAAATGGAAGTGAACTGTGGACGTTCGGTGCTCTTCAGCGGGCTCTGTTCGCGAGCGCCTAGACGCGCACGAGCAGGCGTGATTGTGAGATCCCAACCGTTGTCCGCAGCTTGACGAGCTGGTAGCCTGGTAAGGCTCTTGCTGGCTTGATGGTGGGGGCGCATCATTGAGGATGCAGTTCTGCCCTTGTTGTAACCGATGGTAGTACGCGAGGCTGCTTCTCCTGTTGTCGTACCCGAGGACCCTGCCGCGAATGGCTTGACCAGTCTGGACTGAGCTGACAGCTTTTTTGAAAACGGACCTCGTGATGACAGAGCACTCTCGGTTCTATCCGAGTGAATCGCCAACGCTGAGGCTGCCCTGCGAGAGCTAATTGTGTGCATCTTCCTATCATTAGGGGCAGGCACCTTCCCTCCTCGGGATTCAGCTCTGCAGCCAGGGTTTCTGGGCGCCGTGTTTGCGGGAACTGTAGATTTGAATTCCTGCGCATCAGGTACGCCCCAATCGAGAGCCTCGAATTCACGATCATTCTGTTCAACAGCCTTGTCCAGCGCTGATTTCATCTCATCATCAAACGCTTTGTCAAGACGTGAAATGCCATCATCATCAATGGGGTTGTAAAAGTTCTCGTAATAGCCCTTTAGAAGATACTCCTTTTTAAGGCCTCGAAATGTCAGACCTCCTTCGGGAAGCACGTCTGATTGGTAGGGCAAGGGAGTCGGGGCGGGAGGGGCATATTCCGGCTCCTCATCTGCGTTTACATCTCTCTTATCGGGCTGAACTTCGAACTTGGGAGCAAATGTCTCCGCTTGGCGTAATTGAGGACGTTGACTGCCAGGCTTGATCTGAGAAGCCTGGCCTTTTTCTTTGGCGGCCACGGACTGGCTCGGCCGTGCTTTCGCATTCGTGGTCTTATTGCCAAGAGGAGCTCTGGACTGATTCCCTGCTTTGGTTTGAGTATTTACTGACGAATTCATAGAGAAGGAGCCGCACCTAATGGAGTGGCTAAAGCGTGCTTCTGTCCAGCCGGCTTCGTCGTGAGCCTGCCATTCGCCGAATTCTTGACAGTCCCGCCGAGTGCATTTTTGCCCGTTAGAGGAGCTGGCGCGTTCTCATCGTTTCTGGCAAATCGGCCTAAAGGAGTTTTCGGATACCTCGGCCCTGGCGTCTTGGGTTGTTGTTTTGCTGGCACCTGGTGCGCATGCACCAGGTTTTCTTGATCTCGATGTGCTGCGAGCATCGCGTTCGGGGGAAAGAAAGTGTTTCAATGCGAATTCTGACCGCGGTAATCGAAAAGCTGAATAGTTGTGCAACTTGTTGACAATGACAGATTAATGAACGATAAAGGAGCGTGAACAAATGATTGATTGCCTAATGCCCGAGGTATTGACAAAGATGATCCGTGCGCTGTTGTCGGGGCAACGAAGCCGGCTGTGGCGCGTGTAGCACTGCAGCCACAGGGCGTGCGGGCACAGGTCTAGCTGTTGCTGGTGCACAAGGCGTCTTGGAGGGGCAATTATCCCTACCCCACCCCTTTTCCCTGCTTCCAACTCCGCCTGTTCAAACAACGCGATCAAATCCGTCACGTTAATATAATCTGCCTGCAAGCCTCATCAACAAGAGTCGACAAATAATCAAAAACACACAATGGATCGCATCAAGGAGGTAAGTTTGGTCAAGTCTGCTATACCCGTAGTCGATGCCGCTAGCGTGGGGAGATGCAGCGGTCAGTGGCTGACGAAGCTTTGCACAGAAAATGAACCAGCTTCGCCTGGAGGCTGATGAGGCCGTTGGCAAGGTCGAAGAGCTCCAGGCAAAGGTCAAGACACTAGAGCAAGAGAATTTGTCCAAGGAGCAGGACATCACCTCGCTTCAGCACAAGAATAACCTTCTTGAGACTGAGGTAGAGAAGCTCGAGACTGCTATCAAGGACTTCAAGAAGGCTGCCGACGAAGGTCAACAACACGGAACCCAGAACGAGACCCTGCAGAGACGACTCCAGCTCCTGGAAGAAGAAGCCGAGAATGCCGATAAGACGCTGCGAGACGCCAACGAAAAGTATGTAGTACAACGCTCGCGCCGTGGAACACTTGGGTTCCATGAGCTGAGTTGCCTTGGCTAACATGATGGATTTTAGGCTCCGCCAGACCGACGTCAAGGCCGGCCACTTTGAGCGCAAAGTGCAAGCCCTCGAGAACGAGCGTGATCAGTGGGAGCAGAAGTACGAGGAGATGGCCAAGAAGCACACCAGCCTGCAGAAGGAGCTGGAGGAGCTCCAGGTCGAGATTGGCAACATCTAATCTGCACAACCAGTTTTGCGCAAGATTGTGGTTCCTTGTACATGCGTTTTTGGTGTTGCTTGGTTCAAATACAAACCTTTACGTGGATTTTGCGCTGCAAGTGAATTATTGCGGATTCGACAGGTTGCATGGCGACATACTAGAGGTCTCGTAGTAATTGAGCCTGCTCCTTCTTTGAGTATATAGCATCAATCCAGTTCCTTAATATCCACATCATACCCGCCGTTTGGCCTTGTTTCTCGCTCTTTGTTTCCGGTTTTCGAAATCTCTTTCCGTTTTTGTTTCGTAGCGAAATTGCTTCTTTTTCGGCTTCAGAGCCTTTCGGTTCTTGGGGTTCTCCTCCTTTTCTTCCGCCTTTTCGGGGCCCTCGTCTTCTTTTTGCTTGCTCTCATCGTCTTCGATGGGTAGTTCCGGTTTTGACAGGCCATCGCGAGACACTGATACAGTCTCGACCGTCACAGTTGTATACCGATCCTCATCTATGTACTCCTCTTCGTGGTCGACAATGTCCAGCTCGGGCTTGTCGGGAAACCCGTCCCATTCCGTGTCATGTCCAATGTCAGACTGATCATATTCCTCGGCCCCGGCGGCATTGGATGCTTTCAACATCTCATTCACCTGACGAACGTGGTCTTCCAGTTCTTGGCGTCGCTCGTCTCGGACCTATGTTGCGCAACAGGTCAATAATGCTGAAAAAATTGGGAGGAGAATCCCAAGCAACGGCAATGTGTACCTGTTTGCGAGTATCCAATTTCTCTTGTCGCGCTCGCTTTGCTGCTACCTCCTGTGCATGTTTTATGCGCTGCTGCTTTCGCTTCTGAAAGCCCGTCAGGTATTCTTGGCGGGCGTCATTGTCGAATGTTACTTCTTCCACTTCTGAAGTGTTTTTCCGCTTCTTAGTGAGAGGCGGAAGAATGCTCTTCTTTACTCGCGGCTTCGCAAACATAATGCTTAGCAGCTTGTTGGCTAGTTGGCTATGTTTGAAGTTCAATTAGGATAGTTATGCGACAGGCCCATCCAAAAATTATTTTGCTGCTGTCCGCCTGGACCGTCACCGGCCGCTGGATGCCCACCTAAGTGTGCCACTAACGGGGAGTTGCACCAAATATGGTGATTACATAACCCCCTTGTTCCAGCTTGCGCATGCATCATCCATGAGCTGGGGACGCCCAGTTGAGCGACTGGGCTTCAGATACAGCAACTTTAGCAATATCTACCCGCAATGCGTTTGCAGGCATTTCTCGGGTCGCTCACGCTCTGCGGAGCTGCTGTGGCTTTTTCAGATGCCACGCCGTGGATTCTCTACTCTACTGCATCGTATGTGATGCACCATTTGCCCCCTCGTTGACGCGGCTCTAATGAGTACACCAACCTAGCTTTCCTTTGACGGATTCGAAACAGCTTCAGACAAGCTCCGACGTCTTGAGAACCACCAAGGACATCCTCTCGAGATGCCCTACCGAGCGCTATGTTTTCGCGACGCAGCCTGGGATGACTGCCTCCGATCTCCAACGCAATGAAGGCTCGAATATGCCATTGTTCCATCACTCGGTAACTCTGGACAGCCGTATCCAAGGAAAATACATCGTGTCGGAGGTCGTTGGTGATATCCGGGACGGCAATCTTATCAACTTTGTCAAGACTGCCTGCTCGCAGTATGGAAAACAGGCTGTTATTGAGCAGGTCTCATTGGGCCAGCTGCCTCTAGAAAACAGGGCCGATGCCCTTCTCGTCAATGGTGCGAGTGATGGAGAAATACTCTACGGAGCAAGCTAACGATTTATCAGATCGCATTCTCGGCGAACGCATCAGCAAAGACAACGGTCGCGATAGCGTCACGGTCCTATTCTACGCCACACGCCCAGAACCCTCATACGAGGCGCAGTTCGACGAGGCTATTCATATGGACTTGCGCAGAGCTATAGATAACAAAAATTCGACTACCGGAAAGGACAACAGACCGCTATTTGAAAAATACCAATTTTTCACACCAGGTGCGTATCTCTATACACCAGCCGAAGGCTCAAGTATCTAATGGCGGTAATAGGTATCTTCATGGGCATTATCGCGACGATTCTGCTTTTCAGTATTCTTACTGTCGGGATCAAGACCCTCGGAAGCCTCGAGGTATCGTATGGTGCGTTTGAGAAGGAAATGGGACCAGCTGCACAGAAGAAACAGCAGTAACGGCACGTAACTGTGCACCTAGTCACACTGCAACGGATGTCGGATTCATCAGGCGCCCTGTATATTACAAAGTCTGCATTGGGATTTGCAGCTTCTGGGTTAATGTTAGCAAACTTCAAATGAGAGAATGCATGTATTTTCATGTGCAACTGATGGCCCTACATTGAGTATCTCACAAACAGCCTTGTTCATTTGCTCGACGGTAATAAAAATCCACTCCCAGCAGACCATCCCATAGCCTATTTTTGTGTAAACGAATTCCAACGCCAGGACACCCAGTATCGAAGTACTTTATGCAAACGTCTCACCCCCATCATGTCACAGCATCGTCGTATGACGGCTTCGTCGACTTTGGTGAAGACTCAAACTAGGTGACTGGGGAGCAGAAAGTTGGCAATGCCTTCCTTGATCGCGTACTCGTGCCCGCAGTTGCCGCAGACAAGCTTGCCTTCGGAAATCTGCGTCTCGAGCAGCAGGTGGTGCAGATCTTTCAGAGTCTTTTCATCCGCTTGCAGCTCCTCGGCTGTAGGGGCTTGTTCTGGAAGCTGAGGGAATCCGAGCTATTAAGAAAAAAAAAAGTGAAATGATTATTATGTTGATCAAAGAAGAGTGCAGAATAGATATTGAACGATGAGTGCGGGAAGACGTCTTCTGAGCGGCTAGTCCATGGAGGGTTTATACTTCGCGCCCTCTTCGTAGTGAAAATGACAAAAATGCTTTTAAAGTCATACCTCTGATGAAGTTATGCGGAGAGCTGCCCAGTCCAGTCTAGGGAGAACATTGATGAGCATGGCCGGGTTCAGCTCAATCTCATCCTGAACAAGTTCGGCGTCCTTGGGATGTAGCGGAAAAGACTCCGCGGTAGCCTTGCAGGCCTTGGCGGCGCAGTTGACGAAATTAAGACTGAGAATCTTCATGTTGTTTGAGAATGTATGATTTCACGGCCCCAAGTAGACTTCTTTCTTCTTCTTCTTTAAGCAGACTGGGTTTCGAAGACGACTTGAACTGGCGGGCCAATGTCGTTTACACCCCCAGCTTACAACTTTTTTTTTTAGGCGGCTTAGTTTTTTGCCTGGAGCGCCACGTGACAATATTGCGCCCAACACCATGATGCGCCCACCGAGAGCCATCCGGCTTACAGTACTTTATGAGATGGAACAAAGTACAAGGTAGAGAAGCTTTAATTTATTTTTATTTCTAGACTGTCAACTTAAACAAGCGATTTTTCGTGCACAACAACCTTCTTCTTGGATGCACAGCGAACCAAGCCGACGCTCAAAACTACGCCGACAAGGAGCAGCAACATCATCGCCGAGGGAGAGCGTCCGTCGGTGTGTAATACCGGCCCTTCAAGCTGGGGCGTCGCGATGGGTTCGGTTTGTTCTGGATTGCGTAAAAAAAACAAGCATCAATCAGCTTGCGGAACTACACAAGAAGAGGGCGAGAACGGTGCGGGCATCTAGAGCTCAACGTGAATACCTTCGGCAGGGACCTCCAGCTCGCCGCTCTTGGTAATCTTGACAGTGTCCACGGGCTTGTCGCCGGGAGCCGTCTTGCTGCTCTGGATCTTGTCAATAATGTCGTAGCCCTCGAGGACTTCGCCAAAGACGACGTGGCGGCCGTCCAGCCAGCTATAGCGCGCGCGCTCTTGTTAGCATTCGGCACCTTGATTGTGGGAGCGTTAGCTGGGCCAACTTACGAGGTGATGGCAGTGGTGATGAAGAACTGGGAGCCGTTGGTGTCGGGTCCGGCGTTGGCCATAGAAAGAAGACCCTTCTTGGTGTGCTTGAGCTTGAAGTTCTCATCCTTGAACTTGTTGCCGTAGACTATGTCAAGTTAGCCAATTGGCTCGCGCTTTTCGATATCAAGGTCTGGCAGGTTTTGCATACTGGACTTGCCACCAGTGCCGTCGCCCTTGGTGAAGTCGCCGCCCTGGATCATAAAGTCCTTGATGACGCGGTGGAACGTAGATCCCTCGTAGCCAAAGCCCTTCTCGCCGGTGGCAAGGGCACGGAAGTTCTCGGTGGTCTCGGGCACGGTCTTGCCGTAGAGCCCAAAGGTGACGCGACCGAGGTTATCGTCGCCCTGCTGAATGTCAAAGTAGACCTTGTGGGTGATCTTGGGGCCCTTGGCGGCCGCGGCGGTCTGGGAGAAGAGGACCAGGCCAACGGCGAGGAGCAGCATGGCAGAAGCCATGAAGCGACGGAGGTTGAACATTTTTGGGTGGCCTTTTCGACAGTAATGTATGATGAAGAAAGAAAAGGAAATAAAACAAGACAGGAACAGATGGCGAATTGGATGGAGGGAGGACACTTGACACCTTTACGAGATTCCGCGATCCGCACTAGCAAGCCGCTAAGAAAGTCAGAGCTTCCCCCCGCCACAGCACAGGGGACTTTGTTCCATCACTTGTTTCAGACCCACCAGCTCCCTGTCCAAACGCTGCTAAGTAAGCCCATTGAGACTTTTCTGCCCACAGTTTACCCGACTCGAAGCCTGGATCGGAATTCACCAGGCCAGCGACTTTGCGACAGGATAGATATCACTTGACTGTGTAGGCTTTGCATTACAGCCACCATGGTATGCATTTGTTTTCAATCATAGCGTTACCTGCAATCATACTTACTACTCTCCCATAGGTGTTCGTTCTGGGCGTCAACTTTGCAGAGACCAGATTGGTCAAGGTACGCGGCTCCTGAAATATCGGCAAGAAAGACGAAACGCGACGGTTGATTAATACTGATTTACCCTGCAGAAAGCACTAGAGTCCTTCTACGGCCTTGGACCTCTACTGTCGGAACGCATCATGGCCAAATATTCGATACACAAACTCGCAACAATGGGCTCATTGGCCCCGAGAACTGTCACCTCGCTGACAGCCGAACTGGGCCAGATGCCCATCGAGAGCGATGCGCGAAAAACGCTGCAGGACAACATCAAGAGATTAAAAGATATGGGCGCATACAGAGGCCGTCGACACGCCATGGGCCTGCCGGTACGAGGTCAACGAACGAGAAATCAGAATGCGACGCCGAACAAGCTCAACCGCGTCAACCGAAAGGGCTGAGAATAGCGTACATTACTGACACAATACCGCAAAAAAAAAAGTCAATACTCGTGTGTTTTTAGATTGCTGTACTTTTATAACCATGGATCTGCGCCTTCGACGGCGTTGACTTCGAAACCGGCCATATCGAGGCCTCGACCGTGTACAAATATATATAATGCATCACGATGCAACACCAGCCCACCTCGGGGAGCTGAAATAGAAGAAGCAAAATTATCATCTCCATCTATCTTGGTGCATATGTTTGATGGCTCTTGTAACTTCACAGCTCATCCTCCAGGGCTGGAACGCCAGCAGCTTGCAGCTCCGCAGCGACGGCGTCAACCTCAGCCCAGACGCGCAGGAGATTGCCGCCGACGATTTTTGCCGCATCTGAATCGCTGACGCCGTTTTTAAGCAACTCGACAACAAGGTCGGGATACTGGCTCACATCAGCGAGACCCTCTGGGACCGTCCCGATACCGTCAAAGTCTGTTCCGATGCCGACGTGGTCAAACCCAATGAGATTGCCGATATGCAGGATGTGACGTGCTACCTGCTGTACTGTAGCCTCCTCTGGGACCGGGTCGGGAATGCCATTCTCGTTGCCATTGTCGATGCAGGAGATAAACTCGGGCGCAATGTTGACCATGACCAATGAGTTGCGTTTCTTGACAAGCTGCAGGATCTCATCGTTTACGTTGCGCGGGTGTGGGCAAATGCTGTATGCTGAGCTGTGTGAGTGGATGACGGGAGCTTTGGAGCCTTCCCAAGCTGCGTTTCCGCCTAACACATCGCGCATGGTGTCGTCGCTTGGGGTAGTCAGTCGAGTGCGATGCGACACCGGGGATAAGGTGACATTAACTTACCTAACATGAGCAAGATCGACTATCATGCCGATTCTATTCATTTCATGAACAAGCTTGCGTCCAATAGGACTGAGACCAAGCCACTTTGGCTCGGCCTTTCTAGCAGGCCCTTCCAGAATCGCAGCATCAGCAAACTTGTTGTGGCAGTTGTGGGTGAGAGTAGCATAGCGAGCGCCGAGGCTATGGTAGAGCCTCAGATTAGACACCTTGTTTCCGATTTGATGCAGGCCTTCGACACCAAGGGGTGAGATGAGCTTGCCCTGCTTGAAGGCGGCCCATGCGGTCTTGCTGTCAACTGCTTGGGAGAAATCGTGGGGGTAGAGCTTCTGCAGCCTGTTGATGACGTCAATTTGATCCAGTGTATACTGGACACCTGTATTGTGGTCAGTCTAGGAATTGTGTAGCTCGAGAAGGATGGCACATTGCGTACTCGCGGCGTAATTTCTGTCAGAGAAGTCATCACCATGTTTGGGGCAGGGCGCATAGACGCTCCAGAAAGCACCGCCCGAGGCACCTTGTCGCAAACGATGTAAATCTACATGGCCCAGCAGGGTGCCATTCTCGAAAGCCTGCTTGAACTCGGCATCCTCGATGCGATTGCCGTAGCGCCCACGAAGCAGGACTGGGAAATCGACATGTCCGTCTACAGACAATGGTAAGCGTTGACTAATTGGCGTAAATTTGGTTACAAAGCACGGGAATTTCACCTATTAGTGGTGTTGCGGACAGAACACAACGTGCCCTTTCATCCAATGTACTGAGCTCGGTACAGTCGTGAGCCCTATGACTACCTGCACATGGCTTGCGGATGAGGGGAGACCATCCCCCAAGAGCCTTGGCGATGATGACCGCCGTCGCAGCGAATACGATCAGAGCCTTGATCAGCGAAGTCTTGTGTGGCCTACTAGGGACAGTGCGCTTATCGTTGCCGAGCTTGTCGCCGACGTTGATTGGCAGAGGCGGCATGTTTGGGGTAAATGGTATGACAGTGGAGGCAGCGATCAAACAAGTAGGGGTGGTGAACGGACACTTCGCGGTAGAATCACGTTGGGACAGCTTCAATCAGTAACCGATACAGGGTACGGATCTCAGTCTGAGGCAGACAAAGTCGTTGTATTGTGATTTGTGGTATTGTGGTATGACGAATGGTGCTGTGCGATTGTGTGATTGTGATTATGTCTACGGATTACGGAGGACAGATACTCCGCAATATGAGTCTTGGGTGGTAGATGTACGCAAGTAAAAGGAGAGGGGCAAAGGGGTACCTTGAGATGATGTTGAAACAGCGACCGACCAAAGTATATACGTTGGGTCGCTGTGTGGAAATGGCAAAAGCAAGCAAGCACCTCGTTCTTCTCAATGCACTGTAACAGGAGGCTCCTGGGCGGCTCCTAGCCGGTGCCAGTGTTGGTGACAGGCTGACAGCTGCCCCCACAGCACGTCACTGTTTCCGACAGCCGTCCGGGACAAAGATCATGGAGCTAATTATTCCGCCCAATGCATGGCGCATCGTGTCGTGGTGGCCATATGTACAATCGTGCGTAACTAATGTGATTGTAATTCCAAGCGCATGGAAGCATGGTATTAAATCTAGCTTGAGCCCCTTTTTGGCTACCCACACAGCCTTGGTTGCTATAGGTTGAGTTTGGACGGATACGAACACCTGCCCGTGCTGGTGGAGGATCTGCAACTGCAAGGCGGTTAGCGCCCCTAATGAGTATTAATAAATGCATACCTAACTATGATTTATAGCCTGGCAATAGCAACCTTGGGGGTGCCTGGGAGGCATCCACGAGGCTCCAAGTCCATCAAGACAAGCAATAAGGCACCCAACCAACCACCCAACTAGCTGAAAGCCCCCAAGTGGAACAATACACATTTACTAAATATAAACTTTTGCGGGCAGGCAAGACGAGCCGTCGAGTTGGCCAGAACCCGTTGGCCTGCTTTGGTAAGAAAAAAGCAAGGGCCCTTCACAGTGCCAGCAGCCACAGCGCTTGACATGCTTACCGTTTTCCCAAGCTCCCCCATCTGTCATACACACATCTACCTGGACTTCTTTCCGTGTTGCCCTACTCAACTACTGAATCCCACGCCTCTCAATCATCCTCAACGACCCAACGTCTCTCCCACTCTCGCGCTTTACTCGGCTTCTCCTCTCCACTGCTCCCTGTGGCCGGCCGCTACTCCTTTTACGACTGCACACCTCCCGTCGCGCCGCCCCCCTCCACTTCGACAGCTCGGCAAACAACCCAAGACACGCGCGTCATTGTCTGCTAGCTCTGCGCAAAACAGCGCTGTCTTCCTACTCACTGCCTACACTTGTTGCACTTCCGCCGCGACTCTCTGATCAAGTCGTTCAAGATGCCGGGGTTCGCCGACTCCTTCTGGTCCAACGACTATGCTGGGGGTACGCTGCCCCAATACGTCCTGACCCGGACCACTGCTAATCACCCCTACAGGGCTCGGTGTCTTGTTTGGAAAGCTCCAGCAAGGTGTCATGGAAGACCGACAGATCTTGACTCTTGCGCGACTACGAGCCGAAGCCGAGGACGTTTATGGCCAGCGCCTGGCAGACATTGCCCCAGCCGCTGACCGCGTCTCCGGTGGCTTCTCCCGAGATGATGGCGCTACTGTCCGCAAGGTATGCCATTCGATATATGGCAAAATTAAATATCATGAATTTTCTGGTGCTAATATGCGACCTCCATCAGGCATATGACGGCATGCGAACCGAAATGCAGGAGGCTGCCAAAAGCCACCAGCGCATTGCCCAAAATATCCGCGATCTCGTTGTTCACCCCTTCGCTCGTTGGTGCGAGGCTCACGAAGCTCGCATCCAGGACTCGCAAGACGATTTACAAGCCCGTACGAAAGCTCACGACCGACAGGCCGAAACTGTTAAGAAATTGCGCTCCAACTATTTCAACAAGTGCCGCCTAGTCGAAGATCTCGAGGAGGAGAACAAACTTGCTTTCCAGGAGCCCGAGTCAAGCCCTAAAAACGCTTCACAGATCCCCGAAATCAAAGTCCAGCCTCACAAAGAAGAGGAGAGCCGTGACGACGACGACGTCTTTGAGATTGGCGACGAGATCTACCAACCCGATCAGCTCAAAACAATTCTCTCCAACATGCTTTCGAATATCAAGATGGGAGAGACCAAGGTGCCCATTTTAGGCACCTATCTCAACACTTCAGCTGGCTCTGATATTGTCGAGTACCTCCAACGCACCATGGCCACGAGCAGTGTGAGCTATGCCGAGCGCATTGGTCAAGACCTCATTTCCAACGGCTTGCTTCGCCTAATTGGAAACGTCGGCAGCACCTTCGCCAATAGCTCCAGAATGTTTTACCAGTGGCGGCCAAAGGCATTTCGTTTAGCTGGCGTCCCAGAGAAGAAACAGACACTCAGCCGCACATTTTCTATGCCCATTTCAGAGTCGAGCGACTCTCCCGTTGTCGGTACTGTCACCGAATACCTCGCAAACTGGAACGTTCTCAACAATTCTCACCCCAACGAGACCCCCGCCCAGCGATTGCAGAGAGAAGCGAGAGAATCCGACGAGAAATACAAGTCCGCCGTCAAGAAGCTGGATCAGCTCAGATGCGATCTCGAACAGTCGATTTTCATTCACCTCAAGTTCCTCGAGCAGTGTGAGCTGGATCGCCTCAAAGCCATCAAGACTGTCATACTCGACTTTTCAGGCACAATCAGCAACGTTATCCCCAGCCTGCAATCCACAGTCGACAAGATGATGTTGTTCCAAGAGACTGTCCAGCCTTTGGGAGACTTACGATACCTCTTGGAAACCTATCGCACTGGTGGCTTCGCCCCTCGAGTTGCTGTTTATGAGAATTATTACAACAAGGTTGATGACCAGATATTTGGCGTAGATCTCGAGGCCCGCGCACGTGCTGATAGGAAACGCGTCCCCGTCATTGTGACTGCCATCTTGACCTACCTCGACCACCACTATCCCGATCTTGAGGGTGATGAGGCCAGACGAGGCGTTTGGCTCGTTGATGTTCCCTTGGCGCAGACGCACCGTCTTCGCGCAAAGATTCACAACGATGCTACAGTCTCCCAGGAAGTGTTTAGTGACTTTGATATACCTACTGTCGCCAGTCTGCTTAAGCTCTACCTCCTCGAACTTCCTGGTAAGTACCTTTCCTAGTAATCTGTAGGTCAACTCTGGATACAGACTAACCATTCTAGACTCTCTTGTATCTACTCATGTCTATGAAATTGTGCGCACCATTTACATGACACCCGCCGCCGAAAGCACTGACGCATCGCGCATCGCTGTTTTGCAACAAACGCTGTCCCAACTCAGACTGTCCAATATTGCAACTCTTGACGCCTGCATGAACCACTTTACCCGGCTGATTGACTTGACTTCTGCCGATGATGCATATGTCACTTCACTTGCTACTACTTTGTCGCGCTGCATCCTCCGCCCACGCGTCGAGACATCACTCACCATGGAAGAGAAGCATGCCATCAGGTTGGTTCGTGACCTGTTTGCGCACAAGGATGCCATCTTTAGCGAACTGAAACGCATGTCGACGCTGAATCATTCCTCGTCGGTCGGAAGCAACCGGCCTCGCGCTATCAGTACAAACGAGAGCAACCGCAAGGCCCTGATGGAGGAGCGAAACAGAGCCTTGTTGGAAAAGGCCTCGGCGACCCGCGGCCGCGCTACCAGTCCTGCTCCCGGGACGCGACACCGCCGGGATCGTAGCAGCGGGGGAGCCGAGACCCGGTTCCCAATCCAGACCAGTCCGACCGCGAACAACGAGAGACACAGAAGCAGCCTGGGCAGCCATCTGGCTGGCACTGTGAACCGCAACAGCCTAGAGGTCCCCGCAGAGGGAACCTCGACGCCGCCTGAACCTGTCAACGGTGGAATCGCGGATGAGGCTGCCGACCGCGAACGCACCGATAGCTTGACCAAGGGCACCCCGACGAGGTTTGTCGGCGGCCGCCGCGTGCCCAACTCGCCTCCAGTCGAGGACGTCGTTCGCGGAGTGACACTCGAGGATAAGCCCATGGACGACTAGAGTCACTATTCTCGTTGAGTTTTTTTGTAAAATGCGCTGGAATATCCTCCTTGCTCTGCCCTCTTGAAGTGCGTCGCTGGCTTTGAGGAGGAAGAGATGGATATAAACAACAGCTCCCAGCCCACATTCGTGTATTGCTGTATCATCATCATCATTGGGGAAAACGAGGAGACGAAGCTACGCGGGCAAGATTTTAACATGGGTAGCGAAAGGAATGAAATTCTCTTTTCTTTTGCTTTTTCTTTTCTTAATATTTAAAACTGAAGACACAATATATACATGCACGATATCTCAGCAATCTCTTTTATGGTGCGACAAATTATCGACCGAAATGTCAATATTTTACGCTAGACATGAACTGGCGAAACTTTCTATGCTCATTTTGGGCGGCGTCTTACATCAGCATCGCTTCAGATCCCGTGGTCTAGTTGGTTATGGCATCTCGTTAACACCGAGAAGGTCCCCGGTTCAAGCCCGGGCGGGATCACACTTTTTTGTCAGTTTACAAATTCTCTGTTCATTTTTGATTTCATTTTATTTATGGTTACATTCTGCATTACTTTGTTTTTTTTGGCTAGTCCTGTTTCCGCGAATTTCTGAATTTCCAAATTTTACGTTTTTATATCATTAAGAGGGTCCTAAGAATATGTTAGTACTATATACAAGTCGCCGGTGCGTAAACATTGCGTTCTGTGTCGTGTGTGAGTGGCAGCTGAAAGATGGTCTCAATTTTTTCATGTATTTATATATCCCCGTTCTATAAATGCTACCAAACAAAACACAGACCCGGGTCCATGACTGAGCAAAGCCCATTTTATGCATCGCCCGTTTCTGCCTTCACAGCGGCCGCAGGTGTCGTCGTCGTCGTCGTAGTCGTCTTCTTCTTCTTCTTTGTCTTCTTTGGCGCAACCACACCCACCTCAGCCTCGTCAGCGTCCTGCGCCTCCTCGGGAGTCACCTTGGCGACCTTTTTCTTCTTCTTCTTAACCACCGTCTCCACGCCGGGCGCCGTCGCCGCCGCCTCGTCACCGTCCAGCTTGGGAGTTGTCGTCTTCTTCTTTTTCTTCTTCTTGACAACGGCACCCTCGGCATCGACGCCCTGCGCGACCTGGATGCGCTCATTAGCGCGCTGCATCTCCAGACGCAGACGCTCCACCTCCCGCATCGCCTGCTGCATCTCAGCCTCCTCGCGCTGCTGCTGCTCGTAGTCGAAGCCGCCCTTGGACTCGCCCTCGAGGCTAAAGGAGCCAATGGTGCTCGAGTCCACTTGCAGGAGGGACTGCTGCTTGAGCTTCCTTGCCCGGCCCCGGGCCGCTATGGAGTCTGAATTATTCTCTGAATCGTAGTTGCGGGGCGAGCCGTCGCTGCCTTGCAGGGTCTCATCTGCGGCAATCACGACGCGTTGTCGTGGCTTAGCTGGCGAGCGCTGTACTTTCGCCGCCGGCGCTGGCGTATTCAGCTTATCTAGGTCGAGCTGCATGACAGGAATCGCATCAATGTCGAGATCCGGTCCGTTGCTAGTTTGAAGAATGTTATGAATAGAGTTTGAGGTTTGCGGTACCCTGTCACTGCCGATATAGAAGGGGTCGTCCTTGTTTCTCTCTATCCTGTCCGCTTTCCGTCGGGCAACAATGTCGGCGTCCAGATAGCTATCCTCAGAGGGCTGTTGGTAAGATGTGCCGATATTCTCGTCCGGCTCGGCAAGGAGGCTAATGGCAGGGGCAGAGGACGAAACACTCGTGGGCGCTGGCTTCTGGTGATAATAAACCTCAAACTCATCGGAGTCGTCGGTGTCGAGAGTAACAATGTCGGCCCTGGAGAGGAGATGATTGAGATTCGAGTGAATTGGCTCATCCAAATCAAGACCGTCAGGGATCGGCACGTTTAGTTGAGCACCAGCCGCGACAGAGTTAAGCTCGCCACCATTGAATAGCGACGGTATTGCTTGTGTCAGTAGAAGGGGAGGGTCTTGTGGCTCTTCATCTGTAGACGCAGGCTGGCCGGACGCCGCTTCAGCTGTGAGTTTGAGCAATTCCGTGAACTCGACAGCACGTTCCTGGACCTCGAGGCTGGGGTTCAATGTGAGTGGCTCCATGGAGTGTAGTATGCGAGCCAACAGCAACGACGTCCTCGACTTTCTTTCGGCAGTCCACAACTCTGATTCGCTTCCCGTCAGGGACGCAAAGACCTTGGCGATTGCATGTATCACAACAGCTGCAACATCGGGCTTAGCGGTCCGTGTCGTGAGTTGTATCAGTGCATTGATTGTGTCATCTGGCGTAGACAGCATATCGGAGTATTCACCGAGTAGCCAAGCGACCGACTTGAGCGCCTCACATGTGATGGAGTGTCCAGCTGGAGTGTCCATCAGAAGCTGCGACAGGATGCTCTCTGAAGCGCGTAGAATAGAGTGGCGCATAGCTCGGACTTTGACGGCAACATTTCGTAGTTCGTTTCCAATCTTTTCCGATACGCTAGCAGCGGATCGTTTGTTTGCAGCAGCCTCGGCATCGCCATCAGCTGATCTTGATGCCGGTGTCATACGAACAAGTTGGGTCAGAACATCAATATACCAATCAAAGTCGGCAATATTTGCGTAATTGTCTTTGGAAGACATGAACAGAACTCTTCCGATAACATCAATCCTGTAATCGTCGGGAATTGACATTGCAGTTTTATTGGGCGCCGCACTAGTGACCTGTTGCGAATCATCATCAGATTCCCCTGACGCATCTGTCGAATCTAAACCCGCGTCAAGTTTCCCTTTCGCGTATGTGGCAGCCTTGAGCTGTTTCATTAGTCGACTGACAATAGTGACCAAGTTGTCGCTCGTAACCATGCCCTGGACGAGGTCGAGAGCCTGGATCCGGATCGTGATATCTGGACTGTCAATGCACTCGAGGATGACATCTTCTTGCTGGGACACAAGGTAAGGGTGGGTAAGGACAATCTTGTTGAATGCCAAGAGGGCAACGTATTTCACTGTCTTGCGGTCAGAGCTCGCCAACATGTGCGGCAAATCAGAATAGCTTACAGTTTGGATCTCCGTTCATGATAATCATGCCTCGCAGTTTATTCACACAAAGCGTTGCGATTTCCTCGGTGTCGGTATCATCAGCACTCCCGAGAATGCCGCCTTGGATGATGCCATTGATGCATTCGTATAATAGCGACATGGCTGGAGTCGTTCGTATAATATTCGTCAACGGCGGCAATAGCTTCTTGACAAGTCGAGACTCGAGCGGCGTCAGGGTCGCAAACTGCCTAAAGTCAGCATGTCAAGTCACATCTTGTTGCGTCTTAAGCACAGCTTACCAGCTTGATCAGTTTGATAGCCATCCAATTGTTGCCTCCGTCGACCAGTAGCTCGAACAGTCTCGGCGCCAGCGGTAGAAAGTCATGCGGCCGGCGCCAGCCAAGCTCGCACACGACATTTACAATTGCTGCCGTGACACTGGGGTCCTCCTCTGCATCCATAAGTCGCTCTTTGATCTTAGGCCACGCTACCCTCAGCGCTTCGGGGTATACAAGGGCAAGTCGGTAAAGCGTGACAAGGGTCTTCTTTCGTATATTGGCATGACTATGGTTCAGTCGTGGCAGCAAATCGGCAAGGGTCGAGAGCGCGAGCGAGGGCGTGATAACGTGAGGAAGCGTCGCAATCGGTAAGGACATGACCGTCGGTGCGGCAGCACTCAAGTCCTTTTGTGCAAAGCATTAGCAATCGTCTTTGTGAAAGATGAATTCGGATCGACACACCTTTTTCAACAAGTTGGTCGCCAGCATGAGGACTTCGGTGTCGGCGCGGAAGCTCTGGACAGCTCCCAGATACCCAACACGCTTTTGGGGGTATTTGGCTGAGGACATGACCTCGAGGACATGGAAAGACGCCCATGACATGTCATGACCGACCATTTCCAGGTATATTAGCTTCAACAAGGCAGTTGCCTTGACATCTGCGGGTTTCTCATCAGCAAACCATTCTTCTCTACGACCCTCCCCGGATCCGGGCACGCGGAGCGACTTCTCACCCATGTCCTGGCTGCGCACTTCTACGCGACATTCTTTCAAGCTCTTTTGAATGTATTCCTTCTCTGTGCCCTTGTGGTTTCGTAGACCCTGAATCAGGTCATATAGCGACTTTTCGAACCTATTTCAATCACCCGCATCAGCGCATGTCCCATACCCCGCGTCTCAGCGCGAGAGCTCCAAAGGGTTGCCAATGAGCTCCTCGTCCTGCCTTACATCTTGTCAGCTGTCTAGCCCCACGCGGGGTTTACCTCGCAAACGAAGACGCGCGCACGAGGACTCGCTCGTCAAAATATAGTCTGGCTGGTTCGGCGGTCGTTTGTGTGGTTCATCGTGCGGTGATCCCGTTGCCGCCCGCAGCTCCGTTTGTGTCTGCGTTTTGGGCCGCGTGCGGATATGTCGAATAGACAGAGCCGCAGCTTAGGCTTTTAAGTCGGCGTACAGAGCAAAGAGGTAGTAGTAGGTAGAGTCGAAATTGGGAGAGTGGGTTGCAATGAGGCTAAATGATCTGGTTTACTGGTCAGTACCTTTGTGTGGGGTGTGGATTTGGTGGGCTGCATGACGGAAGCACATTTCGCCCACTCAACAGCTACTACCAATGCTACCTTGCTTGCCACACCAAGCTGCTGCTGTCCTTGCAAGACAATTGACGACATTACTACCTGTGACGCCACAATTTTCTCAATCGCGCATTGGGAGTACAAAGCAACGTATAGACCCTTGCGCAGGAGATTTTGGGGGAATCAGCCGGGTTTCAGCATTTATCTTCTACACTAGACGACCACCGCCGAAACTCGGACAAACTCGATCATCACACTCGGCAAACCTTCAACATCCCCGACATGTCGATTCGAACAGCGGCGCGGCGTCTGCCGCTACCAACCCGCAGTCGTGCAGCCGTCTGTAGCCGTTCATTCTTCACACTGCCCAACAATAACAGCCAGACACTCACAGCTACGAGAACGCTGCCGTATAGGCAGGACCAGCTGTACGAGCTCGTCGCCGACGTGGACTCATACGCGCAATTCGTGCCCTACTGCGCCCGGTCCCGCGTCACGCAGTGGTCCGCACCGGACGAGGCCGGCCGCACGTGGCCAGCACTGGCCGACCTGCACGTCGGCTGGGGGGGCCTCAACGAGGAGTTTACGAGCCGCCTGCGCTGCGTGCCCGGCGTATCCGTCGAGGCTGTCAGCGGCGATCCGGCCGGAACGTCTTCTGCGCCGGACGCATCGGCTGTCTTCAAGAGTCTCGTCACGCGCTGGTCGCTGCGGCCGCTCACGGTGCAGCCGTCGCCGTCTACGGAAGTGAATCTCAGCATCAAATACCAGTTCACCAACCCTCTGTACGCGGCCGTCAGCGCTGCTGTCTCGGACAAGGTCGCAGCTCTCATGATTGAAGCATTTGAAAAGCGGGCAAGGGAACAACTCAATCATAGCGATCGAGCGTGAGAGATGAAAGCTATATCTGGGATCGAGACTGAAATACATATATGAACATGGAGATGCATTTGGGTATATACAAATATGATGAGGGGCGCAAGCGTATAGACAGTATAATGCAATTCATCAGACGTAAATTCATACAGAGATACAAAATTATTCAAGATGCGTCAACTTGAAATCATCCAGGCAGCGGAGCAACAGCCTAACACCAACCTGTCTCTAGCTCAACCAAAATTGAACAAAAATGACAAACAAAAACCCTTAAAAATATTGCAAACACCTCAGGCAGGAAGCTGCGCAAATGAGCACAGCATGAGATCGCCTCTGCGCCTTCTAGTTCAGTACCATATCTCGCCAAATATCAATGTCATAAAATCAGTCACAAGCAGACCCTTGTCTTTTCTTTCCATACACCAGTGGGAACCCATAACACATAAAAGTCGTGAGGAAAAACACAAGAGAAAAGGTGGCGAGCGTGTCTATCAACAGAAAGCGGGCAAGGCACAAGTAGGTGATTTGTGTATGCCTCAAACCAATGATTGCAGAAGGAGCAGAACGGGCCATCGCTCTGCGCCATCGCGGTAAAGAATCATTGCTTAATTATTTCTTGCTTCTGAAAGACATGGCTCGTTAGTCTCGCAGACAATAATATCTCAGGAGCGTCGACTTACTTCTTCTTGATTGGCTTTCCACCGAAGAAGCCAACGAACGCGGGAGGTGCCTGCTTCTTCTTTTTCTCCTTCTTAGGCTCGCGCACAACATGAATACCTTGGGGCACGGGCGGAGGTCCAGGTTGAGCCCATGCTTCTGGCGGCGGCGGCATGCCACCGCGACCCCCACTCATAGCAGGCGGCATAGGGGGTATAGGGGGGGCACCCATGCCACGGCCTCTAGCCATGCTTGCCGCCAAGTGCGGTGGGAGGCGGGCATGCCTCTGAATGCGTTCCAAGGGCCACATGAACATGGTAATGGACCACTCTGGTTCAATGACCTTTGCCCATACAGATGGGAGGATGATTTCTTGGTTGGGACCAACCAAGTCATACCACCCTTCGTGTACTTGGTACTCCAGTTCTTCGACGTTGTCAAATGCTTGTTTGATCAGCTCCTCCATATTCTAGAAGAAAGAATTAGTCTTTTTCTTGTTGGATGATTCGTGTCGCCGAGATGTGCGTTGTGCTGTGTGAGATAATTGTCTGACTTACCGGCCATGTTGTACACAGGCGATATGGGAAGCTGTACTTGCGATTCAATGCATCTTTGAATTGAAGAAAGGGGCCACGGTCAGCCTTGGCCTTGGCTTCCATTGCCGCCTGTGTGTCCGCTTCCACCTTTTTCTTGAACGCTTCTTTCTCAGCCTTTGCCAGTGCTTCTGCTTCAGCCCTCTTGGCGGCCGCGTCCTTCTCCGCCTGAATCTTGGCCGCAAACTCAGCATCAGCCTTGCGCTTGGCCTCTTCTCTGATTGCATTCAGCTTCGCGGCTTCTTCGGCGGCAGCTTTCGCAGCAGCAGCTTTGGCATCGGCATCGGCTCGCAATGCAGCTTCGACCCGACGCTTATGTTCCTCCTCAATTCTGGCCTTGTCTTCTGCCTCCTGCTTTGCCCTAGCTTCCTCAGCTCGTCTTTGTTCCTCGAACATGACTTTGACTCGTTCCTCGGCTTGCTTCACAGCCTCTGCCTGTACCCTGGCACGTTCCGCGGCTGCGGCAGCCTCGGCAGCGATGCCGTCTCTGGTAGCTCGCGCAGCTTCCTCTTTGGCTCTCTGTAATTCAATTTCGTTTTGTTTTTTCATGTTCTCCATCTGTTCCATGATTCTTCGACTCTCCTCGGCAGCTTTTCGGTGAGCTTCGGCTTGCATCTCCTTTTCACGTTCGGCTAGCTCCTGCTTTTGCTTCTCCCTCTCGAATTGCGCAATTCTTTCTGCCAGCTCCTGCTCGCGTGGGCTCGGTCCGGCTGGAGCTGCAGGTGCGGCGGGTGCGGCGGGTGCGGCAGGAACATCCAGCTGCATGGCATGGGGGGCCATCTGAAATGGCGGCTGTTGAGGGTAGTAATGGCCCTGGTGGTAATACGGGGCCATTTCGTTGCCGTACATTGCTGGAACTTGACCATGAGGGTATGTCGCCGGGCTGGAGTAACCGCTACCAGCAGGGCTGAAGGGGTTTCCACCAGCGTATCCTACGACCTGGCCTGGCGGGAAGTATGCAGCATATGCTTGATGGTGCTGAGAGGCTGATCTTGGGTAACCGCCGCGACCATATTGGCCGCCGGGGTAGGACCCGTGGCCATAGGCCCCGTACTCCTCTTGAGGATCCAGGGTGGGCGCTGGATCCGGCGCGCGGCGTGCCGGGCGGTAGTGTTGTTGGTGAGGCAGAGGTGCGGGCCTCAGCGGGAGGCGGGTTGGGTGTGCGCGTGGCGTGGCAGGTAGACCGGCGTGAAAGACTGATTGTTCGGACTCGCTGTAGTCGTCTTCGTCACCCCAGTTCTCTTCGTCTCCGTGGGTGATGTAGCCGTGGCCGTCTTGGGAAAATTCGTCGTCGTATACAGGGTATGTAGGGGTGAACTGTGGTGAGGGCTCGCCCGAAGAATAATGGGCAACAGACGTCGATCTTCTTTGGGGGGAGGATTAGCGCGCCGATGAAGCAACAAGGGATGGATCTGATGATGGAGAGGGCGGGGGTTGAGAGGTGCGAGGTGAAAGGTGCAATGTGCGAGGTGAGAGTGGTTGTCGAAGAGGATTGCGCCAGCGCTGGTGATACTCACCGCATAGCAGAAGTCTTGTGTGTATGGCCTTTACGGACGTCGATCCTTGTTGGAGGGTCGGTTCGCAAGCAAGGGCGTCACAAGGACAACCTGGAGGGCGTGGGGGGTGTCAACGCTGGAGCACGGTGACCGCGGTCCTGAGGGCGCGGTGGTGCAATAGGTGCGAGGCACAATTATGTGAAGACGGGATTGCAACGGGAAGAGAAAGCGCGTTGCAGAAAGGCGGCGCAAGATATTTGTGGTTATAAATGGTGCTGCGGCTGGAAAAGCAGGCCGCGGCGTAGCACAGGGTGGGTGAATGACAAAAAGGCAGCCAGTCAGGCGGCGTATTGCGAGGGGTAGATGGTGACAGACGGTGAGGTTTTGGTGCGGGCGGCTACCTAGGTAGACAGCTCAAGCTGGGGCTAGGTTGGTGGTCTCCGGGCGACTAGGTACTCTAGCGACGGGAAGAAAGGGAGCAGGGCACGCTAGGTTGGTGCTAGCAAGTTTTAGGAATCTGGGATGGAAGACGGGTCAGCGAGGGAGGTGAAGGCAGGGAGAGAATAGGCAAGTAGCTTGTAAGATGCTTGAGGTGGGCGTGGGGCAAGCAAGTATGGTGGGAGTGAAAGGTGGGAGGAGGTGGGAGGTGTGTGTACTAACATGAATGTGCCTGGGTGCACGTGTATTTTGGTGCGAGGACAAGTTGGTGATGGTAGTGTTGATTTGATCAAGGGTGGTGGCAGTGGACAGTGGACAGTGGACACTGATGGTGAGTGGTGAGTGGTGAGTGGTGGATGGTCGTGAGTGCGTTTGTGTGCCTCGTCGTTGCCGTGGTGCCAACACTCTTGGTACAAACAACCAGCGGGCAATAACTATAAGCAGCAGGCAGGGCTTGAAACAGAACAGCTGGCGGGTAATCGCAGCAAGCTAGCCGAGTGGAACAAAGCGTATGTATAAACCAGGGTAGCGCAGACCACAGAGAGATCAGATTGTCACTCGTCACACGGTGATGAAAACGGGTTCGAATTTCCAAAAGGGCGGCGAATGCAATGGTGGCGGGCGTGTAGTGATGAATGGTGTACCTAGGTGGTGATGGTGGTGCTGATGGCGCTGGTGCTTTGGTGGCTGCGGGAGAGGATGGGGAGGAGAGGCGGTGAGTTAACGGGATGATTTTGTACCCAAAAAACCAACCAAGCAACCGAGCCGAGATGGATAAAGAGGCTTGGATGGGTTCGCTCGCTCGCTCTGCTCTCTACCTAGTAGAGTACCTTTTTTTGCAAGTAGAGGTGTGTGTGGTTTTTCAAGTGATTCTTCAAAATAGTAGGTGAGATGTGAGGTGAGGTGAGGTCGGTACCTGACACGCGCCGCAGCTAATAAACTAGCCAAATCAAGAATGCACCCAATCACAACAGACTGCAACAAAGTTCGTTCCAGTTCGTCAATGCTGTGCGAATCAAATGTCTGGCTAGACTTGTTCACTTTGCCGTATTGACCCGTCGACCCCGTGCAGAGTGGCGACTGCGCGGCCCAGAACCTGTGTCGACCTGAGACAGCGTCCGTCCAGTCCGTCAGTCTTCAGACAACGTTGCCCTGGTCTGCAAAGCAAAGCAAAGAACAAGCAAGCGAGCAAGCCTTTTTTTGCGGGTTTCCCGTTTGGTCTAGGCACTGAATCAATAGACTCGTCGCACTTTGATCCGATATATCGCTGCAGGACACGCGCGGTTTGGTCTGCGAAATCTGTCCAGCCTGCCAAACCTACGCAGCCCAAACTGGGGTTTGCGTCAAGGCTTGCCAGATGGCCTCAGGCAATGGTACCCAATGACAGACCGATGGCGCTGGCAATTGTGGTGAGGCCCAATCTTTGCTCCAGTAACGGCACCTCGTCGATAGATTTCCACTGCGCAATCGACATGCAAGTCGCGATGCAGTGCAGGTAATAACGACGCCCTCTTTTTTTCACCTCGTAGATGCGTCAATAGTTTGGGCAAATCGGCGGCGCAATTCTGCGCAACACCCAGACAGGCAGCCCGGTGCCGTCGTTGGCGAGTAACGAAGAGGCTAAACCTGCAGCAGTAGACGGCTAGGCAACAGACTGCACCAAGATGAAGACGCAGCCGTCGCCTAGCGATGATCTTGTCGTATTTATCTGTCTCTTCTCTTTTTGCCCATGAATAGTTGTAAAGTACGTACTGCATCCGCGCAGAGGGGCGCAACGTCAATTTAAACACTCACACTCACATGTCACCTCACCCAACAGTCATGGACTGTTCTAGAAATAGCAACTCGACAGCAAACTGCGCTCATGCACTCACCTCACAGAAGAAAATTTTGCCAGTGCATTTACGCCAGCCTCTCCTGCTTCACAGCCCCCAATTTACATTTTATCCCGGTCATGGGCCGGAATCGCTGGTTACGCCGCCTCGTTGGGCCTCAACACCAGGTAGCAACCGAAGCCTAAAGCCTTCGGTCCACACCGTAATAGTGCTCCTTGTCAGCGACAAAGCACTGGTCCACATGCGGGGATTGTAGACATTTGAAATTCTCGACCTTGTTCTGTTTACCCAGGGCTGATTTTCCTCGACAAGTCAGCAAGCAAAATCCCAATACTTTTTGACGAGTTTTACATGCCCAGCAATACTCACCACTTGGCGATGGTCCGCATCTTCGGCACCTAACCGTACAAAAACAAGTGGGGCATCTGGCAGCAGTCGCTGTCAGTCACCCGGTCCGTCTGTCAGTCATCGTAACCCCGTCGTGGCACCAAGATATTGTGTCAAAAACCGGTTACTCAACATACCACTATTCGAGAACCGTTTCGTGGCTGATCAACTTACGTGTGAAACTGAGCCGGCGCTGAGTCTCCGGCGTATTCCACTGAGGAACCCAACAAGCCCAACGCTACACAAGACACCATCAATCACCATTGCTCTCCTACCACTGTCTCACACAAACTTGAGAAATCATTGCATCATTACTTTGTGCAGCTCATTTCATGTATGAGTCATGCTATTTCTGACTACAGTGCGATATTTTTATTCCCGTTGGCATGACTATTGCTTGCAGCCCAACATCAATTGGCAAGAGTATTGAAACAGTCAAAAGTGGCTGCCTATTATTCCGCCCCCATTACATTGCGTACAATTTACCATGCTTCCCAACGACCAACTCGACCCCAGCCTTATATCAGTCCAGACTCTACCTGACCACTTGGGCTGAAGACTTGGAAAGGAGCTCTCGCGCCGCAGCAACCTCGGCCGCGTCATACCCTTGCCACAGCTTTTCTTGGGCACCGTGCCGTCGCACAATCTCTGCCAGCTTTGTCGTCGCGAGTTGGTTGAGTTTCTGTATAGTCTTGGTATCGGGCATAGGGAACCCATCTTCTTGTTGCTTTTTTCCTTTGCTGAAACCATCCAACAGCTTGTCAGAAGACTAAACCCACAGTTAGATTTTCCAAGCAGCGAGCGACAATAGGTTCGAATCGAAACATACCAGCTTCAGGCCGTAGTATCCACGCAAGTAGTCATCACAAAGCTCAATACTGCGAGAGAATCGTTTTAATGCTTCGATGGCGTATTGCTGTCCGGATCCTTCCGTCAACGCTGACGCAGCCATGAGGGAGACTTCCCCGAGTCGCGCATGAGTCTATTGGAGCACATTAGTCGTCGCCGTGTTTCGCCTTCGATTCGAAACTTACATTCCATGAATTCGGCTGAAGAATCAAAACTTCCTCCAACGCATAGATGGCCTGGGCGTATAAACCCTCCTCCAGGTACATGTCGGCCAGCTCAGCCCAAGCCTCGCTGTCAGTAGTGTTGAATTCAAGAAGGGTATTTAAAGCGGCGATTGATTCCTGAATCTTGCCCATTGATCGAAGAAGTGCGACTTTGCGCTTGGCAATTGGCTATTGCGTTTGTTAGCCCCTTGTTTGCTACAGTAGAGCATGTGGTCTCGACGTACAACATTGGCATCATTCTCCTTCAGAATAGCGTCGTATTCTTTCAATATCTTATCAAGGTCATTATTATTCGTAGCCTTGGCCTCTTTGGTAAGGCCCTCCAGCGCCATCACACGCTCATCCTTGGGTCCAAATCGAATGACGATTCGCTCTAGGCAGTCCGAGGCCGACTTGTCGTCGCCGGTTCGCAGGCAAGCCAAAAGGAGATTCTCGTAAATAGTCCACACGTCACCGGTCTCCGATGCAGAGAACATGGCGGCCAGCGGCGACGTGGAAAACACCTTTGGGTTGCTCTTCAGCACCTCGGGTGCCAGCTGCGCCAGCTTCAGTGCCTCCGCATTGGACAGGTGGACCTGCGGCCGGAGCAGGGACGGCGTCATTTCAGGCAAAATCTCGTGTCGCAGCGGCTGTTATAAATCAAATCGCCTAGGAAATCGACTGTATTCTTGATTCGGCGCCGACTCGCTGTTGTGATGCTGGGACAGCTGGTCCTGGCTGTCGCAACTTACCCGGACTGGTTAAGCGGAGCTGGCGAATTTCCGCCCCATGTTAGGAAACCGCCCGCTCAGCTTCCACAGCCGCATGCACAAAGAGCCGTAGACAGAGGTAGTTAATTGGCATAATTACTTTATGGATCTGATTCAATAACTTGAGACGCACTTTAAAAACAGCCCATTTTTCTAATTATATTTCAAGAAAGTATCAATCACCAATACAGCTAACAGTCTGCTAAGAGTCGAGGCCGTTGCTTCACCTCACCAAACTACATTCTGCATTATGTCAGCAGACTGACCCCAGCCCATTTACCACTTTTTCTTCGTGGGTTCCAAAATTTTTCTACATCCAAACTTTCCCTCGTCTCTCTGTACCAGGACAGAGGCCTACAGAGGCCCGGCCAAGGGCAGACCCGCGAATACTTCGTGCTTCATCATTGGAGTGACGTTCAAAATGGCAGCGACCCCTTCAAGCGACGCTCCCGCGGAGACTGCGCCTGTGGTGGATCTGGAGAAGCTCAAGATTGCTGAGGATGCAGCCGGCGCTCAAGTTGCTCCGCATAGGTCGCATGACCCGGCAAACAACTTGAAGCGAAGCGATCCGTTTCAGTTTGGCAGCCGCTATCTGACAGAGGAAGACAACGTTTACGAGTTCAACGCCTGGGATCATGTGGAGACTGACGATGCATACAAGGAGTACACTGAGCAGCAGCTTGAGAAGCAGCGCCAGGCCCCTGTTTCTGACTTTGACAAGAGTAAGTTGCCTCACTTTTTTCTTTGCCTATTGCACTTACCCTTCGCGGTGATGATATCGAAGCACCACTTCATCTGAATATTCTGATGAAATCAGGTTAATTATAGTCTTTCGCTCCCATCTGAGCACTCTTTCTTTCCCTTGCATCCTTAATTACAAAGCAACATTTGAGAAGCATACGCTAACACTCATTGTTCAGGCAGATTCAATGGTAATCCTGAGAAGTGGTGGAATCTCTTTTACAAAAACAACACTGCCAACTTTTTCAAGAACCGAAAATGGCTCCAGCAGGAGTTTCCCATCTTGGAGACGGTAACGAAAGAAGATGCCGGCGCCAAGGTTATTCTGGAAATTGGCGCGGGCGCCGGTAATACGGCGTTTCCCATCCTTGCCAACAACAAGAACCCCCAACTTAAGATTCATGCTTGTGACTTCTCCAAGACAGCCGTAGAAGTCATGCGCAAACATGAAGAGTACAGTTCAGAGCAAATCCAAGCCGATGTCTGGGACGCTGCAGGCCAAGAGCTGCCGCCAGACCTTGAAGAGGGATCCGTAGATGTGGCCATTTTGATCTTCATCTTCTCGGCACTGTCGCCGAGGGAGTGGTCCCGCGCGGTGCACAACGTCCATAGGCTGCTGAAGCCCGGCGGCGCCGTCCTCTTCCGTGACTACGGAAGAGGCGACCTGGCACAGGTGCGCTTCCGCAAGGGCCGCTACCTGGAAGAGAATTTTTACATTCGTGGCGACGGCACGCGCGTGTACTTTTTTGATCGCGATGAGCTCGGCGACATTTGGTCGGGCAAGAAGGCCGAGGCAGATGGTGATGGTGATGCTCCCAAGTTCTCCATCGACCACCTCGGCATCGATCGTCGGTTGCTGGTCAACCGGGCGGAACAAAAGAAAATGTATAGATGCTGGCTGCAAGGACGATTTACAAAACAATGACATGATACAAAGACGATTTACAGAACAATAGACGGGATACAAGGATACACACTTTTGAACAATAGACATGCTACAAGGAGACATCAAGAATAACATACACGACACAAGGACACAAGATAATAGATCGTTGACCATGATAGCGATCAGCTTGGCACGCGATGCAACATGATGAAAGGGACTGAACCTGTATATACATGGACATTTATGCTGCAGCAAGTTCCATCAGACGAGAAGAGTCTCGCGAACAAGTGCGCGACGACCCTGGTGAAATCCAATGGAGTCTAGGTACGCGTCCAGGCCACCATATTCATCGTCGAGATGCTTCTTGAGACCGGCCATCATACCGCGGTCCGTGTACGCCCAGGCCTCGGTCAAACCAACAGACGTGACTTCCTTGATCAGCTGCTCGCGCTCGCGGGCGAGGCCACTGTCGGTGAGGAGATAGTCGTACTCGATGGCGTCCATGGGAACGTCGAGAATCATCAAGATGAGGCAGCAAATGAGACCTAGATATAACATTTTTTTTTGTCAGCACACTTCATTCTTCTTGCTCTACTAGTATTTTACTGGGGTCTGGCGCCATTACCCGTGCGGTCTTTGCCCTGCGTGCAGTGCACGAGGATGGGCGTCGTCTGCGTGCTCGTGTAAAGCGTCAGCGCCTCGGCAATTTCGGCGCCCGAGTGGTCGAGCTTGTCGCGGCCGATGCCGAGCAGCCCGCGGGGGACGAGAACATTTTCGGCGACGACACGGATGGCCTCATTTCGGTACTTGAAGATGTATAGAAAGAGGAATTTCCTTTTGTTGTCGCGTCGTCAGCGCGGTGCTGACCTGACAATGTGCAACTCGGCCAGAACCAAAACAACCCCCTCAGAGCATGTGAACTCGACCAGAATCTATACATACAAGGTCTGCCACCAGGTGAGGAGGCTAGCAATGTGGCGCTCAAAGCTGCGGCCCGTCACTTTGATTTCGTGGTACTGGATGCCCGGGATATGAGCCGTTTCTGGCAGGGAGGGGTCCGCGATGCGATGCGCGATGCGCTTGGCTGCTTGCCGAGCCAGCTCGGTGCTGCAAGTCGCAAGCCAGTTCTGATTAGCATTGCAGAGGCAACCGAGAGTTGAAGAGGAGTTGATGTAGGTGTACAGGATGGCCTACTTTGTGCGCAAGTCTATGACAGTGCGGATGCCGAGGTCATCGGCCAAGTAGGCCATGTCCCGGGGCGATGCATTGTCTGAGGGCGACGACCAGTTGTATCAGTATCAATCAGCACATATTCCATCATGTATTCCAGACAGCTTTTTTTTGCTGCTAGTAGAGGCGTGTGTGTCATGTGTCTCTTTTTACCTGGTCTGGCAGATCTATATACGAGCCCTTCTCGAACGACTCTGGGAGGCCGCAATCGTGTTAGCAATGACATGGGATCCAAAAGACAATAGCTGGATTCGGGCATAGAGAAAGCACAACTTTTTGCCCAAAAAGGAATTTACGGGTTTGCCAACGTCTCGAAAATTGGACACCTTTTCGAGGACATGCTGCTCCTCCTTTTCGTTTGCCATGGCCCTTCTTGCCGGGACGCTAGCTAAGTCGCTTTGGAAAGCAAGTTCGCGCGAAATTGAGGCCGACGAAGTGTTGTTGCAAAGCGTTGCGAGGCGGCGGCGGCGGCGGCGGTTCTAAACTAGCAAACAGGTACAAAAGTTGGTGGAGAAGCAGGTGATTGAACCAGTCCGACCTTGGTAAGCATCATCGTTTGTGGCTGGCGCTCGCTGTTACGATGATGGCGGCACAGCCAGAACAAACACTGCGAATTTAGACATCGTGGCAAGTTATTTCTGACTACGATTTTCCATGTGTTGATATAGAATGGATTGTTGATGAAAACGTGGTATCCATAAGGGTTTGGGTGAGAGCCGCTCAACTGCCTTATCGAGCACATTGGTGTGTGTCTGCCTTTGGAAATCGAGGCTGCAGCCGAGCCGATCGCTGCAGGGTTTGAATCCCTCCGACATTGCGATATAATTAAGGAAAAGCTGATCATTGAGTGATTGAGTCGACGGGGGCTTGCGGGAAACTGGGCTTGCTACAGATCCAAATCGGTTTAGCAGTAAGCGGGTTTTGACAAGTTCGACAGCCACCGCCATGGTTGCAGCCTCGAGGGTTTTTAGCCTCATCACCTTGTATCCATACGGAGTAAATAGTGGAGGAACTTTTCTGGAGTCGTTCCAAGGCGGGAAACACCTTGGGGGTGGCCGAGATGGACAGTGGGCATTGGCGACGTCATGAGCCCGGAGCTCCCATCTTTTTTTTTTTTTTGGAGAGGGGACAAGCCGGGTCATCAGAGTAGCAACTAGGCCAGAAGCGGATCGGGGGGCTTTGATGATTCAAGGCATGAAAGTAGATTATTACTTGGTGATTAGAATTGACCTCAAGTAAGAGAAGTTTCAGACGAAGATGGGGGTGAGGTCGGTGGAAGGGATGGATGGGTAAAAGTATTTATCAGGTGACTCTCAGAGATGGCTGAAGCTGAGCATTCGACGAGAGACGGATGTGAGTTTTAGAGTTTTGGAGGAAACGGCAGTGAGTTTGGTTGCAGAGTTGGTGAGGATCAGTTGACGGGGGCCCAGCGGGGGGGGAACTGTGGTGGATGTGGTAGGGGGACGGGGGATCACTGGAACGCAGGGATGTGCTTCGATAGGTGGTGGTTGGTGGTGATGACGGATGAAGCCGAATGAATGAATGGGTGGTTGATTCAGCTCAGGTTGTCCGCAGAGATTGTCAGCTCAAAATGTCTTGCACAACGCCGACTTTAAGAGTAATCAACTTGTTCATTATTTCTCTCTCTTTTTTACATACCTGAAGTATCGGTCAAGAAAAGTATAAGCTGTAATGCCGGCACACAGACTACCGTTCATGTCCATCGGCCGGCCCACTGCCGGGTCAACCAGCTGGTCACTTTGAAGCGCCAAAATCCGGTCAAACTGTTCCAGAGCCTCCATGACGTCAGCATGGGCAGGGCCACAAAGCCTGCTCTGCTGGGCTGCGGAGCCCCCCCCTCCCCCAAAACGTTAGTTGGCCAACTGTTGTCGGCGGCAAAGGCGAAAGCTTGCTTGCCTTGGCAAGTCAGTTAGCTGGCGGCTTCACCCAAAAGATGAAGCTTGCCCAGCTATTTACTTCTTTTCTTATCGTCTGGCCTAGCTAACTACCTACCCAACGTTAGTTAGTGTCTTGATGCTGCTGCTCCTGTCCAAAATCTCCAATATTTGTACCGCTTGTGCCGCCAGCTCCGATTTGCTTCCCTCATCATCCCCAACATCCCATTATTTTTGACCATTCGTATCATATAGCTCTCTCAACTATCCTCATATCCTCATCTATCCTATTCATCCTGCGGTTGACTTAGTCTGGAGTAACCAATTTTGCTCCGCTTCCAAGCCATGCCCAAGCCGGCTCAAGGTACGTCCATACATACATACGTATATACATCTCGTAACAAAATACGACATCGCCACTCCTCGCAATTGCAGCAGCCACGCCATCTCTTTTTTACACCCCCCCGCAATTTGCCCATTCTCATATACCCTCACTTACATTGCACCTTTATCCATCCCATTCCCTCAACTTACTTACACTTCACTTTTCTCTCCAGTCTCCAACGCCGGCAGGCTCAAGTATGCCGACCCTAAAGACCTCCCCAGCTTCCCCTCTACCGGTCTCAGCGAGAACGGTGCCGCTGCCAGCGCCGCCGCCACCCTAGGATGGGCCAACCAAAAGTCTCCCGAGCCCTGGCGGCCGGACAAGGCTCCCTCTGCCTCTGCCGCCGCTGTTCTCGCCAAAGATTACAAGTCGTCTCCCATCTGGGAGCCTTCCAGCAGCACCGGCGCTAGCAAGGCCGCTCTCCTAGCCGTTGGCTCCGCCACTGCCGCCCTCAAGCAAGCTCCCTCAACGCCAACCAAGTCTCCTCACGACAATTGGGGCAATTCTGCAGCAACTCAAGCTTTTCATGCTTCTCGCCCAGATTCTGCCACAACGTCCAGCCTAGCCGGCGGTGACACTGCCGCCACTCAGGCTTTCCACACCAACCGAGCCTCCACTATCCAACCTAGCGCCCAGTCCTCGCCCGACAAGTCAATCGAGCAGCGCTCACTGGCGGCTGCCAAAGGAGCCATGGCTTCTTCAAGGCTTGACTCTGCACGCCCCGCCTCCACTCATAAGGAGCATTCTACTCTAGAGGCAAGCGCCGCAGCTAGTGCCCTCAACGGTGCTGCACTCGCCCATCGCAAATCTCTGATGACGCACAAGCCCACCATCGACGAAGTTGGTGCTTCCCCCATCACCAACATGAACCGAAACATGTTTACCTCGCATCCGCCAGTCAAGATGGAGACTGACGAGGAACGAATCCACAACACTGCTGTCCAGATGGCCAGGAAGATGTACCAACACCAGCAGAAGATGCTTGACCAGACCAAGGATGCCCAAAAGGACCAGGAGGGCACTCCCTTTGCCGGCACCTACCTCAATCTCCAGGACGCCGCGTACAAACAGGCCCAGGAGCGCCTCGCCAAGCTTCACGACGAGCACCAGCAGAACCGTGAAGCCCAAGAATACTACGGCAACTCTTCTTCGCCCCGCCGCAAATTTTCCATGTCCCAGAGGCTGCGCCGCCGCGCCAACAGCGACCCCGAACCCGACGACAAAGTTCGCTCCGAAAGCATCCGCCAGCAAATGTCCATGTTCTCCACCAAGCTGTCCCAGGTCGACACCGAGAAGCGGGCTAAGGACCGCGAGGCGCTTCTCGCTGCTGCTCAGCGCAACGTCAAAGCTCGTCTGCAAGGCATGGACGAAAAGGTCTACAACGAGACTGGCAAGCGCCACTCGACCATGTTTACTGGTTGGGAAATGAAGGCTCAGCAAGCTGCTCAATCTCGATCCGACACACGTACGCAGAATCACGGCAAAATCGATATTGGTGGCGGCAAATTCATGACTCAGGAAGAAGTCAATGCCATTGCCGCCAAGAGACTTCAGCCTGTGCTGGATGACATTAACGAAAAGGCAGAGGCTGAACGTGAACGTCTGGCCACATTAAAGGCAGAGGAGGATGCCCGACGCGAGGAGCAGGAGAGAATAAAGGCCGAGGAGCGTGCTGAGAAGGAAGAGGCTAAGAAGGCCAAGGGTAAGTACTTTTCTTTTTCAACATGCCACGTAACGGTTGCTGACATGTATTACAGAGCAAGAAAAGGCCGAGGAAAAGGCCAGACGTGCCGAGGAAAAGCACGAGGCCAAGGCTAGAAAGGAGGAGGAGAAGCTAGAAGCAAAGGCGAGGAAGGATGAGGAGAAGGCCAGAAAGGCAGAGGAAAAGGCTGAAGAGCAACGTGTAAAGGAAGAGAAGCGCAAATCAAAGCTTGGTGGTGGTGCTGCGGTCGCTCCCACAACTGGAGAGGACACCGAAACTGCGCCCGATACCCGTCCATCTCACGATGCGCAACCGTCCGCCGCGGCCGAAGAAGACGACAGCGACGACCTCTTGGATACAGATAACGAGCACGAGGCGCACCCAGGTGGTGTCGTGGGGGGCGCGTCCAGCAGCCACGCCGTCGAGAGCACCGACGAGCGCGCGCCCCGCAAGTCGGCCGAGGGCTCTTCCTCGTCGCAAAAGTCCAAGTCGGGCGTCAAGAGCTGGATCAAGAAGCGTTTTTCCACCTCGCGAAGCAAAAACGAGACGGCCGCCGAAAAGGACCACGGCGAGAAGCGGCGCAGCTTCTTTGGCGGTGCGCACAAGGCCAAGGCCGCCGCCTCGGCCTCCAACAACAACGCAAGCAACACTAGCCTGGGGAGGCGCTCGTCCAGCATTCGCGATGTTGCGTTGGCCGGCAGAAGCGGAGAACAACCTGACGAGGACACTGCCGACGTGACGACGGAGACGGCGGCGGAAAAGCTAAAGTCTGCGGATGAAAAGCCTGTTGAAAAGACGGAGCCAATTGTTGAGACACCTGCGGTAAAGGATACCGAGGAAATCCACAAATTCCCCGCGCTGGAGATCGAGGAGCCAGAAGCCAACAAGGCCGCCTCGTCCGCTGCCGTCGCCGCCGCCCACACGCTGCCCAGAGTCGCCACGACCGCCGAAACGGCCGACTCGCGCGGCGTGAGCCCCGTCACCACCCCGTATGAAGACGCCGAGGAGCGCAGCCGCACTCTAGAGCTGCCCAAGCCCCTCGAGGACCCTCGGAGGAGGAGCAGCAGCATAGCCCGCGATTCTCGCTTCAAGGAGGAAATGTAAAAAAAGACCCCGCGCGCTGGTGTTTTTTTGTCTGTATTCATGTATCGGTTTCTGGATTTGTTTTTGGATGGGACGCTATATATGTATTCTGGTTCTTCGTTGGAAAGGGGTGGGAAAGCGTGACAACCCGAGTTTTCTTTCTTCTTTTCTTTTTCGTCTTCTCTTTGTTCCTTTTGACTTCTTTTTTTCTTTTGGAATATGACAATTCTAATACGGTTTTTGTTCATCTACTCGAATATATAACTACAATGTATAATTGTTGGATAGATCAAGAGTCGCTGTTGTAATACCTGTTGGGTCATTCACTCGTGTCTTTGAACAATTCTTGGTTCCTTTGTTACAACCTGTTCACATTATACTGCTTTTTCAGTAAAAGAGTTCCATTATAACGCCATCATCTCATGCCATGCGTGCACTGCTTTCATCAGTTATTCCAAACCCTGCCCAATACGCAATGTTAATTCCCCAAACACACAATGTTGATTCCCCAAACACGCAATGCTTATGCCAAACCCAATTTGCCTGTCCAAACACAAAACGCCCAGTCATTCTGTTCAAAAAGAAAACTTTTTGTCCGCCACTCTCATCACCATGCCAAAACCTGACAAACCAACTTCCCAATCATCTGTTCAAACTGTTCTTGATCCATTATTCCAAAACCCTCTTGCCTAAAACTGGCAAAGAAAAACCCCATTCTAATTATCGCCATGCCGAAACCTGACAAACCAACTTCCCCATCATCTTGTCCAATCTGCTCTTGATCCATTATTCCAAAACCCTCTTGCCTGAAACTGGCAAAAGAAAAACTCCATTCTAATCGTGTTTCCGTTCCCGTTATCTATCGGCCAGCCGTTATCACATTATGTACACACCAAAGAACTTGACCCATTAGGACCATTAACCGAAAACCTGTACTCTCAAAACGCGCCGGTGGTGTTGGGAATCGTGCCGCTGCCGTGATGGTAAGCGTTGGGGGTTGTGCCATTGCCGTAATACTGCTGAAGCTGCATCGGCATGGTACCACCGTCGTTGCCGCTACTGGCTTCTTCCATCTCGCGGGGGCCGCGCTTCTCGAAGCGAGCCGTGTGCGGCTTGGTCGCGTAGGCAGGGTAGAGGTCGATCCAAAAAGATAAGATGAAGAAGGTGAAGAAAAAAGCGACGATCCACTCGAGCACGGCGGCGGCATCGTTTGCCTTTTTAAAATTAGTAATGACAAAAGCAATGGCGAGAGCCAACTCGAGGATCATGATGGTGAGCTTGGCCCAGAACGACATGAGAAGATTGGGATGTTCTCTGTGCTCTGTGAAAGGAGACGCGTCATGTTAGCATCTTGCACAAATGAGCAGTACTTGATGAGTTACAGGGAAAAAGAATGTAAGGAAGCAACATACTGAAGCCCAGCCGCTGATATTCCCAGCAGGTGCAAATAGCAGAGAAAACGTATCCCAGAAGGAAGATGGCCAAAAAGCTGTAATGTAGCCTCTGGTGGTTCTTTGTATCAAATATGGACAGAAGAATCAGCCCCGCCGTGCCTATCACGGCAAAAACGATGGTCAGCACGGCAAGAATCTTTTGGCCGCGCGAGTCGTTGGGGACGAGGCGTCCGCGGTGACGCAGCCAGCGCGACGCGAGCATGGACAGCCCCAGAAAGAAGCAGACGACGCAGGAGCCGGCGATGAAGAGTGGCTTCAGCTTCTCGGCGCCAATGTTGGAAATGAAGACGATACGAATAGACTGGTCCTGATAAGGGTACGGCTTGGCGTGGTCGTTGATGATCCAGTGCAGGAGCATGCCGAGGAGCATGCCGACCCAGACGAGTGCCGAGATGATGGGCAGCCACTACGCGGGGAAGCGTTAGAGAGGAAAGCACTTGCCAGCATCCCATCTTGGCTCCCGGATGGCAGCACGTACCCAGAATGAGATCCAGCCTCGGACGGCCATTGTGGTTGGTTGAGATGACTGTGTTTACGGAAGATGCAAGGGGAAGTAGGCAACGGCGCGTAGAGTGCACCTGTCGAGTCTATGGCGAGAAATGAATTGGCCCACCCAAGGCAAGCTGCTATTGTACAGAATTGAAAGAAGAAGAAAAAGAACTTGAAAAGACGACGGAAATGACGGGAACTAGACGTTGATAGCTTGGTTGCAGATCACAGATTCAGCATGCATGTTGTGAAAGGATCGAGTACGGGCAGTCAAGCCAGTGCACGTGAAATGTATCAGTCGTGACGTCAGCACGCTGAGCTCAGCAACAACAAGCCAGTAGTTAGCGAGGTAAGCGAAGTATACCTCGCGTACGCGTTGGTGGGGCGCTGTCGTGGCCCCTCTGTGGCTCAAGCTACCAGCCACAGCATACGTTGATGCCGCGTGGATTTCCAAGCCATTATCTGAATGCCTCTGATAATTATTGCAAGAAGAAACAAGAGGCGACGTTGACGCATCTGCGCCTGAGACCTACACAACGTGGCAAGCCAAGACAGCTTTAATTAGTACCATTGCTGTGGATCCCAGATCGGAGCTATAGTGGGTCACAGCCCGCCCCTTTTTCATTGGTACGAGGATTCGAACTAACAATGCTGAACAAAAATCCAGTCGATGATTCCATCTTGGTGAAATTCACCAATACGTACTTGTTCTTCACAGTACTTCTATCAAAATTGATCTGTGTGGTAAAGACATGTGTGTGTACTGTCGAGAGTCCGAGAGTGTGAGCCTGGTCGAAAATGCAGAAGCTTGTGTCGCAGGTGCGTAGTTGGGTACCACCGTACCACCGACTCGATCAGACACGGCGTTCGTTGACGACTAGTTATCACCTGGCACGGTATATCTGTGAAACAGAAAAAACCCCCAATGTTTTTAATTTCCTACCTGGTCGCCGCTGTTCCACCAGCCATCCGACGCTGTCGATGCCGTCCAATGTGCCTCGACATTTACAAAAACAGGACCGAGAATCTTCTGAATGCTCGAAAGCACGCCGAGTCGAACCAGACGAGAGATGCAATACAGTTTACTTGCCGCACAATACGAGATGGTAATTTCGGCCGGGAACATTATTATTTCTGGACCGTTTGTCTGTCTAGGCTCTCCCCTTGATTCTCCGCGCAGCGGAATCGTAGACCACCTTGACGAGTGTCTTTTTTGGCCTTTCTCTAGACACAACGTCGAAATATGACGAGTGCAATGAGTGGATTAAATGCCGTTGTATTTTTAACAACGCAGGAGTCTGTCACGGCTGATTTCCAGCAGCAGAAGCGAAGTCGAGCGTCGTCTGAGTCTTGTCTATCTGGTTTGAGACTACATATATACATTGCACCGTGTCTCGCCCAAGGCCATATCTTCCGTAAAGAAAAGAAGCACGAACGAATCTGGCCTTGCTTGCCTTGTAAGAGCACCGTGTTGAAGCATGGTGGCACAGACAGTTGCCCCAGCTTGGTTGAAAGAAGAGGTTGCCTGGTCGGTGAAGAGTAGCGAAGCTAAAATGTGCATGTCAGCTCTACTACCCCCGGCTTGAATGGCTTGAGCGGCAAAGCATTCCTCTAGCTGCAGACCATCAGCAGCCTCTACAACATGGACTCGTTGAATCGTTGACTCGGTCGTTGACTTTATTGGGCGCTATGAGGCGCAGTAGTCCCTGTCTCCGCATGTACCTGCCTGTTTAGTCCTTCATAGCTGTCCATGATTCCGTTTTCCTGCAGACGAAATCAGACCTTGCCAGCAACGCCCGCGGACATTGCTCTTGAGCTAGATATTCGTGCATTTGTTTCTTTTCTTGCTGCCACCTTTCTTGCTCAGGCGGTCGGCGGTTCAAGTCTACACCCATGCAAGGCTGGATGTTGGGCAGCTAAGTAGCCCTCTGCTCCGCTTCTTCCATATTCCGGAAGCATCAAGGCTCACTCTAGCGGAGTCTTCGGCAATTGAAACAGGCAATCTAATACTATCAATTCTAGGTTTGCATTTGAGGACTGCTGGTCATGTGTCGCAGCAGTGCCTCTGCACAAAAGATGGCTTGGAGAAGGACGGCATCAGCCCGTCATAAGTGGCGTGCGTTGAGTCTTGGTGTGGTTAGGGTACCGCATGGTGTCGTATCTAGGAAAAGGTGGTTTTGTGCGATGCCTGTTCCGCTCTGTTGCGTTGCTTGAGCGTCAAGTCGATTCGAATGTCATCATGCCAGCGAATGAACTGTTGTTGAAAAGGGTAATCTCATATGAAAGCATCAGCTCACTGAGCTTCACGGATACTTTGCGATGAAATGAACCGCCGGCGCCCGCTAGTCAAAGAAGGCGCCATTCAATGCAACGCCACCCAACTGACAATAGCAAGCAACGAGCGCCTAACGTTAGCTAGAGGCTGGCCTACCTACTCGCCATCCTCAATGGCCGATAGTTCATCTATCGCATGTTCCTTTGCAGATCTACTAGCAGCTGCTCGCCTCGTCCCCATTGCAATCCACGACTAGGGTTGAGGAGCCACTCATTGGCAGAGCCGAGCTTGGCCGGGGTCCTTTCCGCACCTGAAGTCTGAGGCGTCTCCCGGCGATCGAGCAAGCTGCACACCACTCCATCAGACTTTGTGTGGTTTTTGATGCTTGCTCGCTTGGTTTTGAATACGGGCAGATGTGTCACATGAGACGCTTCCATCAGCCCTCACCTCCGTCTGAACAGTCGCTTCGCACCGGTGGTGGCAGCATCACCGCCGAGGTGCCGGGGGGGGGGCATTGGGTTTTTCCAAGCCAGAGTGTGCCAACAAACTGACCAGCATAATATGTGAGGGGTTCAAGAGTGAAGCGGTTTGCCAAAAGATCTCTAGAATGGCAACGGGCCAGCCACCACTTTGGAGGTGGGGAAAAGCAAGAATGCGGCACCAAAAGCGGCGCCCGAGGGGGTTCTTGGGCCTTTTCCCTCTTTCTTCTGTGGAATGAACAGCGATTTCATGCATGCAACCATGCACTTACTGCCAAGCTTGATACTAGTCTGATGTCTCTGATGTCAAACTATCAAGACAGCCCCCACTCGCAGCGCGATGCGGTTACCATTGATCCCCTGTCCAAGGCGACTAACACACCACCAAACATCACACCACCACTCGAAATGCCCGCCTCGTACGTGCCAATCGATTCGGAACGCCGCTTGGCCTTGCCTATTTGCGTTTGCTGTCGTAGTCTAATCAGCTTGGTCGTGATTTACGACCACATATGAAGCTGCCAACTCCCACTCCCACTTGATCTTGATCTTGATCTACTCAGTTTCTTCACCTCACATATGCACCTGCACTCTCACATACAAATACACGGATACTAAATATTCACACGCACATACACGTATATACACAAAGAACCAAAATCATGTACTTTTCCACAACCTTGATTGCGGCCATTAGCACCGGCGTTGGCCTCGACGCCATCTCCATTGCCTGTAAGCACCGTTTTTCGGTTCTCCCTTTGCCCCTGGTTGCTCGCGTTGCTAAATCATGACCGTTGTATAGCACCTCGCGATAACGCCCCAATAGATGGCAGCGACTCTAAAACTCCTCCTTCTAGTCGAAAATAAAGCTTCCATCAGATCTGCCTGTTGGTGTGAAGAGATGGATTGGAAGTGGTGCGAGATGGTGGAAATCACCGCGGCCATGGGGAACCGGAGTTTTAATTTTATTACTATTTTTGAGCCAGATCTGCGATTTGGTCTGACCTTTTTTGGTCGCTCTCATGATGCAAGGCAGCTTTGACTTGATGAAGCTGGTTGGTTCTGAGCGCCAGCGGCCCAGGCACGAGACAAAGTGATTGCGACCGCGTCGTGCGCAACAATACTTTTACTGAGCGTGATTGAATGAATTGTTGGACCAATATTATAATCTGTGTCTTACTATTGACGATTTTGATTGCCTCGTCGAAATGGAGACCAAACGTTGCCTGTCGCATGGTAAAGTTCGTGCCACTGATAAGATACGTACCAGCCTACCTACCTACCTAATAATAATGGCGGGCAAACTTGTAGCGGCGACTCGCGCCCAACGACAGCTGCAGCCTGCCACAAGCATCAACCAATTCACCTTGCATACAAGACTCGACCGCCTTTCGCAAGCGTACTCGATCGCGGCTCAATTGTTGCTTCCTAGACTACCAAGACCGAGAAATTTCCTTGACTGCTTCGATTTCCGCAGCTTCAGACGAGGTGCACTCGACAACGCACACGCATCCTACCTAGCCCGTCCGTCGTCAACATGACATTATCACCAGTCGTGACGACGACGCAGTCGAACGAGGGAACATCGATACGCGCTATTGGATCGCCCTTTAAAAACTTGGCGTCTGGCACAAACTCGTCGTCGAATGGCACGCCCAAACCGACGCCGACGTCTGCGCCCCAGCTCCCGCCCACGCTGGACGTGGCCGAGCAAATGAATGAGGAAGAGAAGCGCAAATACGTCAAAGGTATGCTTGTCCACCTTTTGCCTGATTTTCGGGAACGTCTCTGACAAGTTACTCTTCAAAAAAACAGGCAAGAAGCTCGGTGAAGGCACGTACGCCATTGTGTTTCTCGGCCATTTGAGATCGAACCCCGCGAAGCAAGTCGCCATCAAAAAGATTAAAGTACAAAAAGAATACACCGAGGGCATGGCTCCCGACGCCGTGCGCGAACTCAAACACCTGCAGGAGCTGTCGCACCCCAACATCATCTCGCTCCTGTCCGTCTTCTCGTCCAAGGACCAGAATCTCAACCTGGTGCTCGAGTTCTTGCCCCTCGGCGACCTGGAGATGCTGATCCGCGACACCGACAACGTGCGCTACGGCGCCGCCGACATTAAGGCTTGGATGGGCATGCTGACCCGCGCCGTGTGGTTCTGCCACGAGTCCTTTGTGCTGCACCGCGACATCAAGCCCAACAACCTGCTCATTGCCGCCGACGGCGAGATCAAGCTCGCCGATTTCGGCCTCGCGCGCGGCTTCGCCGACCCGCACCAAAACATGACGTCCAACGTCATCACGCGCTGGTACCGCCCGCCCGAGCTGCTCTTTGGCGCCAAGCACTACTCGGGCGCCGTCGACGTCTGGTCCGTCGGCGCCGTCTTTGCCGAGCTCATCCTGCGCGCGCCCTACATGCCAGGCGCCAACGAGCTCGACCAGGTGCGCCTCATCTGCGAGGCCATTGGCACCCCGACCGACGACAACTGGCCCGGCGTCGCCAAGCTCCCCGAGTACACGGTGCCCGCCCAGCTCCCCGTCCACGGCAAGGACTGGTACATGGGCCGCTTCGGCACCGTCGGCGCCGACGGCGTCGACCTGCTCATCAAGACGCTGCTGCTCGACCCCAAGAAGCGCATCACCGCCCGGGATATGCTCCGCCACCCCTGGTGGCACGCGGACCCCAAGCCTACGCGCACGCAGGATCTGCCGCGCAAGGGCGGCGGCGGCGAGGAGCAGGTCGGTGCGGATCTGAAGCGTCGGCCGGGCGTGGTTGACGATGACCGGGGCAGCAAGGTTGCGCGGAAGCTGGATTTTGGTCAAAAATAAGTAATGTGGAAAAGCTGGGAATTTTGTGTTTTTATCTTTTTTTTATTTGGCGTTTTGGTTACCTACTTTGTTTCTTATGAAGATGGGCAATTGATCAGAGCAATGCACTTGATCAAGTTGGCGTTGATCCCCCCCCAAAAAAAAAAAGTTCAAGGCACAGGTCATGGCATTGAATAGAGAAATTTACATGATGAATGTAATTGAGACGCTGCATATCCATGTAAATAAATGCACTCGCTAAGATGTCTGGCCATCAAGGCTAACGCGTAGCGATATAACGGCTTGTCGGCTTCATGTCAAAAGAGCACCCTCCCTCCCTCCCATCTCCTTTTGATTACCCAGCGCATCACCAACCTCCTTCTTCCTCTACCCTGCCCGCCATCAACAACCAATTCCCTTTCCCCCCCCCCCCCGGGCCGCGGGGGGCCTTTACATGACGCAGCACTCCATACCATACATGGCCCTCTCGACATTCTTCCTGACCAGGTACCAGTCCGCGCGGCGCTGCGCATACTCATACACCTCCTCTGCGCGAAACACCCCGCCAAAGCGGTCGCCGTCCGCAATCACGGCCGCCATTTCCTTGGCGTGCGCCGCGTCAATGAGGTAAATCTGGCCGAGCTCGCGCAGGGCGCCAAAGTACGGCAGCAGGTCCGGGATGCGCAGCGCGCTGCGGACGTGCTCCGAGTACAGGTTCATGTCGGCAATGAGCTTGACGGCGCCGTCGACGCTGACGCGCTGCCGCTTGAGGTGCTTGCAGATGGCGGCAAAGAGGCGCTGGCCGACCTCGGCGTTGAAGACGTCGAGCATCGACTTGTCGGTGGTGCCGGCGAGCATGCGCGTGTGGCCCGACACGAGCGCCACGATGCGCGTCGCCGTGGCCGTGGGGCCGATATCGAAACCACCGCCGCTGCCAAGCACGCTCGCCGTCTTTTCCGTCGGCGCGACTGGCAGCGGGTTGTAGTCGGTGGGCGGCTGCGTCGTCGCTTGCAGGTGCTCAACCTCGGCCATGAGCGCGTCGATGCCCTTGTTGAGCCCCGCCGCGACCGACTCGTCCAGCATCTGCTCAAACTTCTTCTTGGCCATGTTGGCCGGATCCAGAAAGTCGTTGCGGTCCGCGATGCGTGGCGTCGCCAGCTGCTGCTCGTAAAACACGTCAATCATTTGCGAAATCAAGTCGCCTACATTGACGAGCTCGATAAACGTCACCAGCGGAGCCACGCCGCTGCCACTGCCGCCGCCGCGGCCGCCACTGCCCGTCTTTTCATCATCATCATCGCCGCCGCCGCCGTCGCTGCTGTTGTGGCCCACGTTGCGAGGGTTATAGTGCGAGAGGTGCCCGACGGCAAGGTCGAAGCCGTGCTTGACGTGCCGCTGGCCGAGGATGCGCAGCAGCACGACGAAAATGGTCGAGCACTGCTCGCGCGCCTCGCCGCCGACCTGTCCGCCGAGAGGAATCAGCAGCGAGGCGCGGCCGAGGCTCGTCTTGGCCGCCTGCACGAGGCTCAGCGCCACCTCGATGCTGCAGAGCGACTTGATGCCTTCCAGCTTGGACGCCATGATGGCCGCCTTGGCCGCGAGCTCGTCCGTCGGCGCCTGCGCCTTGACGCCGCCGGGGGGCGCCGGACTGCTGCGGCCGAGGCTCGGCGTCTCGGGCCGCGAGGGCATGGGCGTGGCCGCGGCCGAGGCTGAGGCGCTGCCCGAGGAGAAGCCCATGCCGGGGAGCGCCGTGACGGGCATCATGACGACTTTGCGAAACGAGCTCAGGAAATCCTTCTTCTCCGCCGATCGGTTAATGTTGGACATGTAGTACGACTCGAGCGACGAATCTTGCTCCGAGAGCTTCTTTTCCCACTGCGAGACGGACTGCTCCGCCTGCTTGGTAAAGTACTCTAGCTCCTCTTGGAGATACAAGTCGAGATGCGGCTCAAACACCCGCAGAACCATGACCTTGGCCATTTCGCCAACTTTTTCCTCGGTTGCGCCTGGCGGCTTCAGTGCCCGGAAGAAGCGCATAGTCTGCTCAAACACACCCGCCACCGCCTTGAGATACATGGCCAGGGACCGTTCGTGGGCTTCGTCAAACAGTGGTGTCGTGTACTCGACAATGATGTCTTCGCGAATCTTGTCCACAAGCTCCCAAAACACTTGCTCGGCGTCGGGAAAGATGCGTGCAATCACGTCGGCCTGCTCGTTGACTTTGAGAAGCAGTCTTTCGAAAAACTGCTGCGACGGCGTGAGAGACACGTCATCAGCCCCTTGTCCGCGATTGATGCACTCTATGGGGTTAAAGTTCATGTCCCGGTCATTGAGGATGGGGTGCTTTTGGATAAAAATGTCAATGGCGCTCTTGGCTCCGTTGAGGGCATGCAGCACATGGCCGAAGCGGCGCATTCTGCCGTCCACGTCCCAAAACTCGTACCCTTGCTCAAACTCACGCACGACTGCCTTTTCAAAGATGGCCATCATGGATGTGAGCTTTGCTTCTCTCGCCATGCACCCAGCCGACCAGTCGCTCATGGCAAACTTGCGCAGGTTCGCCAGCATTTGCGCCTGCGTCTCGGGGTCTCTGAACGCTTTAAACACAATCGGCTCCGCGTGCGTCTTGGCTTTGACAATGTCAAAGTAAAAAGGCGCCAGCGCGCCGTAAATCTTGCCGTACTCTTGCCTGGCCCCTCCGCGGATGCTCTTTGCGTTTTTGAACACGTCCAGGTAGGTGGCCTGCCCCTCTGGGCTGGTGCTGGAGGCGGGCCCGCCAACCGTCATGGTCTCGAAGCCGTCGCGCAGCTCCGACACGGCTCGTTTACGCCGCTGCTCTTCGGTCGAGGCATCGAACAGGGTGGTGGTGGTGGCTTGCTTGTTGGCGTCTTTTTGCGCGGCGGCCTGCGCGGCAGCCTGCTCGCGACGGCGACGGACCGCCTCCTCGAACCGCTGTCTCGCTTCCCGCTCGTCCCAGCACCCCATGCTCTTCAGACGAGACACCCACCGGGCATCTTCGTATACCATCTCCTGCATGCGGCGGGACGTTCGAGCGACTCGCATCTGGTCGGCGACGGGCAGGTAGTCGAGCACCGCCACTAGTAATTCTACAAACAGGGCCGTGGCGTTAGCATATTCACTGTGGATTTGCTCAGCATCCCCCATGGGATTCGTACCTGCGGGCAGCTTTGACCGGGTGTCGAGCATATTCGTGGCCGCCAAGGCGCTGAGAATGCTACGACTTTGCGAGCCGCCATTTGCATTGTAGGCCGCCATCCTGTCGCGGGGGTGGTGGTATCAATGGCCGTGGCCGCGGAGGTTGGCAATTGTTGCGGCAGTCGTGTAATCATGGGCTTCCCAGACAGCAGTTGGGGGCATCTGCCATCATCATTCTGCCCGGGATTATGTTGATATGCTCGTGTTTTGCGGAACTGGCCAACTGCGGAGGCGCGAGCGCTGCCCTGAAGCCCCCCCGTTGCATGCGTCACAGGCGCTAATAATAAGGATCCTCGAAGACTGGGGCCAGGGTCTAGGGAGATATTGGACGATAGCTGCACAAGGCTGTGACATTGATTGTTCATTGAAAGGTTTCAAGTTGGCTAACTTTCATTTTGAAAAAAAAAAAAAAAAAAGCCCGTTTCTTCCTTTTCTTTTTTCTGAGCCCCATTTTCCCAAATCATCTTCAAGTCGTCGAATGTTCAAGCCAGACAAGGTGTACTCCATCATAGACACCCATGGCTCACACACACAAGTCTGCATCAGATGGAAGCAAATAGCTATTTCAATGTCCGTTGCCCATATATTTAACCGGTTATGCATCAACATACAGTAGCTATACCACCCAACCGTAATCGCAATCAAGTCGCGTCCGTCTACTCCCCCGTAGTCTCGTCAAGAGGACGCTTCTAGTCTAAAAAGGTAAAAAGATGTGTATGCAAAACATTCATGGCCCGATCGGCGTCTCGGGCATCAATGACGCATGAAATATTGATTTCACTTGCACCTGTTATAGTTAGCATCAGAACCTCGTTGCGTTTTCCCGCCCCCCAACCCAAAAAAAAAAAGAAGACATACCCTGAGAAATCATCTCCAAGTTGACATTATGCTCGCCCAGCGTAGAAAACATCTTGCCGGCGACGCCAACCATGTTCTTCATGTCGGCGCCGACGAGGCTCAGAATGGCCATGTCGGAGAGCACGCTGACGTCGCCGCACTCCTCGAGGCTCCGCTTGGCGCTGGAAAAGGCGTCGATGCGGGTGCTGGCCGAGTGGATGGCCAGGGAGACGTGCACCTCGGAGGTGGAGATGAGGTCGACGGAGATGCTGTGCTTGTCGAGGATGGAGAAGACGCGGGCAAAGAAGCCGTGCGAGAGGGAGCGCTTGTTGGAGTGCACGTTGATGACGCTAATGTCGTCCTTGATGGTGACGGCCGTCGGCCGCTTCGGCGGCTTGTGCAGGCCGTCGGCGAGGTGGACCAGCGACCGCGAGCGGTGCAGCTGGTGCGACGGCGACAGGATCGGGTCCGGAATCACAATGGTGCCGGTGCCGCGCGGGTTCTTTACGTTTTTGATGCGGATCGGGATCGGGGGCGTGGCGCGCACGACCTGGTCCATGGTGAGGTGGTGGATGACCTCGGAGCCGTAAAAGGTCAGCTCAGCGGCTTCCGACGGCGTGATGGAGGTCAGGAGGCGCGCCGTCGGCACCTTGGACGGGTCGGCCGTGAAGATGCCGTCGACTTCCTTCCAGATCTGCAGCTCCTCGGCGCCCAGGCCGACGGCGCACAGCGCGGAGCAGAGGTCCGTGTAGCCGCGGCCAATGTCGCCGTCAATGAGGCTGCCCGGCACGTTGCCGAAGAAGCCGGTGACGACGGGGATCTTGGTTCCGCATGCGCAGAGTTTCTTGCGAAAGGCCTCGACGGCCGTCTTGTAGAAGCTGGCGTCGAGAGGGTCCGCGGCCTCGCAGTGCAGCACGTCACCGAGATCTACGTATTCTGCATCGACGCCCTGCAAAAGTTTTGTGTGTTAGTGCCCTCATTGTTATTGTCATGAATTTGCACCAAACGGAAAAAAAAAAAAAAACATACGTTATTCTGTAGCACGGCCGTCATGGATAGACAGGCCAGTTTCTCGCCAAAGCTAATAACGCGGTCCTTGGAGCGCGCATTGATCTCGAGGTTGAATCTCTTGGTGGCGATGATGTACTCGATGAGCTCCTGGCACTCGGCCTCTATACGGGTAATGAGCTTTTGCCGTAGTAGGGGCTCGGTGACGTAGGCCTCGGCGGCGGCGACGTGATCTTTGCAAATGTCCTTGATGAGCTTCTTGGCCTCGTCCATGTGTGCAAACTGCTCCTCCTCGGCGTTTGCGGCGGCGCCGACAGCCTTGAGCATGGCGTAGACACCAATTAAGCTGATGGTGTGTTAGAAGGAAACAGCGCAATTTCGTCTGGGTTGAGGCGGATTAAACTCACCGACTGGTGGTGCCCTCGGCCTTTTTCCCCGTGCTTCGCGCAGAACATACCACCACCACTCGATTCCGCGACAAACTTGTTCTATGACGGATTGGTTAGCAACATGTCTGTTGATGCGGAGGTCTGGTAAAGGCTTACTTTACGATATCGTGCGCAATCTTTGCGTCCAAAGAGCGTTAGCTTCAAGTTGTCTCATGCTCACTGGTGGTGCCGCTCTCATCCAAACGTGCATGACTGCATCGTGGCGTGGCCAACCGATCTGACGTACCTTGTCAGGAAATTTACCAACGCTTGTTCCGCCGAATTTTTGTACAACCCAGCCCAGTTCGGGCGAGTTGGAGTGTGAGTAGCCGCTCATGGCCTTTTTGTCTGGCTTTTGGTGCCCTGACGCAGTACCTTGCCCGCAAACGACGGCAGTCTGGGCCAATGATGAAGAGAGGGAAGCTCGAGGGGCGCAGAGCGTGTAAATATGCCCGCTGTCGCTTGCTTTGAATCGGCTGGTTGTTGATTCAAGCGTCTCCGTTGCCGCAGACGGCTTGCGGCTCGTCGCTAGAACTGGTTTTTTTTTTTAATGGCTGAGCGAGTCACAGTGGTACTTGAAGACCCGCCAAACTGGTGACGACGGAAGCCAAGGTGTGCAGAGAAGAAGTGAGGATTGGCGGCACGGCAGAGAAGTGAATGTGCAGTAATGGAGAAATAAAAAATGGTATGCGAGTTTGGCTTGTATCAGGGATGGAATGGGTCGAGATTCTAAAAAGTCAAGGTGCCAATGGCGCCGTCGACTCACAGTCACAGGCTCCAGATATGAGTGAAAAAAATATCGGGTCGCCGGAGCCGGAGGTTGAGGGCCGGGGGTCTTTTGACTCTTTGGCGGTGCTACCATGCAGAGTTTACTGTATTCGTTCGTCTCTGCCAACCGTAGATCTATCAAGTATTCTTAACACTTTTTTACTGACAAAAGTCAAGTGTTTGGTGATGGATTGACGCTGTGCTGTACATGGTTGATGTTTGACGCGGCTATTTCCGACTGACGGACACAGGTGTTGGCCTACAGAGAGGACAATTGTCAAGCATTTGCCACATTGAAATTCAGACAAAGTAAAGATTGAATCCTTTGGCCCGCGAGAATCACAGGCCAAAGAGACGCTTCCTCGTCTATTTAGTATCGCCCAATCGTGCTGCACATTGTAAATAAATACCCGCTGGCTCAAAAATCTTTCATCTTGGGTACAAATCGTAATGGCGCAATCGCACGCTAATCAATTGCTCACTAGGTACCTAGTTATTGCCAATCAATTGCCCAACTAGGTACCTGTTGCTAATCAATTGCTACATAGGTACAGCAGCATCTGATCTCGCACCGAGAATTTACCGTCCATTTGTTCAATCTTGTTAGCGGCTTCTCCCACTATTATATCCTGCTTTGAACCATTACAGGCCCCGTTGCAACAGCCAAAGTAAAAGACTTTGCATCAAGCTCACAAAATGTCAGATTCTACTCTCTTCCCTTCCCTCAGCTGGGCCCATCTCCATTTCACACTGGCGCCATGAACAAGATCAACGCTTTTCGGAGCGACGAAGAACGCCCACAAGGCCATGCTCGACTCAAGGCTGCATGCAGCCTTCCCTCGACTGCGGCAGCGCTTATTAGGGGCGACAGTCACGCAACTTGTCGCGCCAGCCGCTCGTTGAATGCAGGGCCCAATGCATCCCAGAAAAGACCCATGACCAAACTCAATATCCAGCAGACGCACTGTTTTTTTCCCCAGCTTTGAATGAGAAGAGTCATGGAGTCGCTAGTGCTCAATTGTCGCATGACGTCGGCCCAGCCAACCCCTCCCTATGTTTTCAAGGCGCCACGGAAAAGAAAGAAAAAAGTCGATTCATAGATGATGAAAAGTGGCTTTGAATCTTGTGAAACCAAATCAAGCAAACACACAGGAGAAAGAAGCACTTTGCTCGATCACGGGAGGCGGCTGACGGCAATATTGTCTGCCGTGTTCCCGTATCTGGGGCACAATGTCCTGTCGTGTCACCATGCAAATAGGAAAAACCGGTTCTGGTAATTGCAGCGAGACTCCAATCCCTCTTCATCTTTGTCAAGAAAGGCTGCCTATTGGTATCACGACAGTCTCGTGTGCGAGCCGTGGCACCCAAAGGTGGACTTGTACGCCTGCCTGGAGACAAACTCATCTCGTTTATCAGCTTTGTCAAACGTATGCCGGCGCATATGCTGATAGGCCTAGCAAGCTCACACTACTTAAATGATCGATAGCCCGTCCTCTCGAGTCTGCTCTTCTTTCCTCGGCAGTTACAAGAACTTTTTAACAGTCTGGAAAGCACCGACCTCAGACAAGCCCTCTCCATCCTTCACTTTTACAACATTGCAAGATTTTTTTCTTCTCATCTTCAAAATGATCAACACTCTTCCTTGTCCTGCATGGGTCTTCTCCCCCGAGTCAAACGCTCAGTACGTGAACCTTGATTCCTTCCACTGCCTCAACACATCTCCCTCCCCACTCCTCACCACACTTGAGCAGCCACGCTGACCTGCACTTCTCCCCAGCCGCGCCAAGGATCGCTCATGGTTCGGCGACGACTACCAGACCATCAGCAGCGCGCTGAGCCTCCAGCGCCGCTCGAGCGACTCGCTGCAGCTCGAGGTCATTGGCATCGGCACCGTCGAGCTGCCCGTGAAGCGCCGCCCCGACGCCCGCGGCGCGCAGTCCCACGGGGTGCTGCGCCTGCGCAACGTCCTCCACGTGCCGAGCGGCCTCTGCAACGTCGTCGGCGGCAAGGCTCTCCTGGCCGCCGGCTACCTCGTGCGGCGCGGCCCAGGCGGCGGCGGCATCCGCGAAATCTCGGACAAGAACGGCGGCGCCGCCGTCGCGTACCTGCACCAGCCAAACGCGAGGCTCGGCGGCAGGCATCTGCAGGTGCGTCTCAGCGGGCCGCCCATCGGGCCTCGGCTAGGCCCCTCGCCCTTTGTCAAGGGCGAATCATACAGCTTCAGCGCACGGTGGCACGACGACGCCCGGGAGCAGGTGATGCGGACATTGGCCAAGTTGAAGCCGGTGGTGGCCAGTCCAAAGCCTGCAATGGTCAAGTCAAAGCCGGGGGCAGTGGCCAAGACGCCTGCCCAATCTCCCGCCGCCACTGGTGCCGCTGTGGCCGCGAATCCTCCTCTGGCCTTTACCGAAGAGGAGCGCGAGTGGATGAGGAGGCACCACGGTAGCGTATATCTCTTCCTGCGGGTATGCGGTCTCAAGGGCAGCAGCGCCGAGGACGCTCAGGCGGCGCGGCGCGTCATCCGGATGCGGATGGCCGGCGGCTCCCCGCACAGCGGCGGCGGCGGCGGCGTCAGCAGTAGCGTCAGCGTGGTCGTGGCAGAGGCCGAGCGGTGCTTCGGCAAGGAGGAGCTGGCCTGGGTCCGGGAAAGGTACGGCGATGGCCTTTCCTTTATGGTGAGTCTGCGCCTGAGGTGGGCCAGGGCCGGCGACGGGCGCAAAGCCAACAAGATTGCTGGTATTTTGATGGCACCCGACGGCGACGGGGGGTGATAACGGCAGCAGCTTGGGAAGGAGATGGGTTTTTTTCTTTGTTTGTTTTGCAATATTCTTTGACGGAGTCTTTCTACAGCGATCATGATGTAGGTAGAATTGAAAATAAAATCACAAAGCATGTCGGCACTGGCTTTGATCTCTTAAGACCACACAGTAATTCAAAGTTGTAGAACTGCCACAGCTGAGCCACCCCCCACTGATTCCCCCAAATGGTTTGACTCCGCATCTCGGCTCTCGAGCGCGCAGCCTTTCTTCCAATCAAGCTACATCTTCAGCATCTACTTCTGGACATCATCATTGCTCCCACCAGATTGCGCGCATCTCTCGTTAACAACTTCGACTCGGCCAGCTGTTCCAATGAGCGGCTCAAGCGGAGGCGCGCCGACAGCGCCAGCGACAGCCAGGCGCGGAAGCGGACGCAGCCAGAGGACCTCATGTGTCCCGCGTGGGTATTGACCAATTCTAATACCCAGTAGGAAATTGCCCTCTGCGTGTGGCATGGTGCTGACGCTCCATTGCGCCAACCATCTCTGCCGGCCGTACACCCGTCTAATCATTGTCTACAGTGTCGCAAAGGACAGGGCATGGTTCTGTGGCGATTACAGACCCATTTCGTCTTTCATCACCCATCAGCCTGAAGGGTCAGTCATAGGCATCGGCACTGTGCGACTGCCCGTCAAGATCTCGCCTGATCCCGGAAATCGTGAGCACGACTTTATCACGCTGCGCAATGTGCTGCACGCCCCCGATTCGTTGTGCAACATGATTGGCCTGCCATTCCATAAAGACTATGACTTGATTTTCAGACCACGCCTCCCAGTCAACGAATTCCGCCTCCCCGACGGCACCCCCGCTGGCTTCTTCAAGAATGAAAGATTTTGTCAGCTCAGGCTTAGCGGTCCGCCCATCGGCCCGCACGTAGGTCCTTCGCCGTTCAAGCCTGATTGTTCATACTGGCTGCGCGGCGACTGGCCAGACGAAGAGCGCGACAAATGGCTACTACCCAAGAAACGACAAGATCATCTGGATCGCCCGTCCGCGGAAGAAAGAAGGTGGCTCAAGAAGCACTACGGCAATGAGTACAAGTTCCTGGCTGCGCATGGTCTCAGGATCCGCGACGAGCGGGACCGGCAAGAAGGCCTCGAGATTATGCGCGACTTTATGCGTGAAGTTTCGGTCGACAGTCTTGGTGGGTCGGGGCGAGAAGGGGAGCGCGTGTCGCCAGAGGAGAGGAAGTGGCTGAAGAAGCATTACGGCAACGAGTTCAAGTTCCTCACTATGCACGGCCTCAGGATGCATGACGACCAAGACCGGCAGGAAGGCCTCAGCATTATCCGCGTTCTGATGGAAAGCGATAGGTTGTATGCCTAGAAAGGCTCGCACAGATGCTCTGCCAGACGGACCGGCCGCTCAGTCGCCATAAAAATTCTGGTGGGTGGTAGCAAGTCCGAGGGCGACGTCGGTACTCGGATAGGGCCAAGATGCCTCTGTCACGGTACACAGGACATGCATGTATTATATTTGAATCTGTTTGAATGACCACACACACACGCTGTATTCGTCGCTTACGTGCCTCGATGTTGGTTTCAGAGACCGGAACTTGACATCTGGCAATGCCTGCTAATTACACGTTATCAGTTTACAAAACAGTCACATTGTTGATGGGCGACTTCTTCAATGAGACCTCGAGCACTCACATTACTTCTAGCGTAGGGTATTGTATTGTATTGTATACAATACAATACAATACAATACAACACCCTTGGGTGACTGCTCGAGGTGCCATTGAAGCAGTCGCCTATTAGTCTTACGGGGGGCAACTTGCTTCACCAAGAGCAGAGAGGTTTGCCGTCTACTTGCGATTCTCGGGTCCAAGTTTCTTCCAATGGCCACCGACTTCACCGGAGCTCTTGAAATACTTGGTCAGTTGCTTCCACGGTGGCCACGTAGGGTGTACCTTTAGGCTTGAAGCTCAATCGTCCTATCCCGCACAACAGTAGCCAGAGTTGGAAAGAACGACGGCTACCCGAACCGAGCTCCTTTTTATTCAACCCTCACGTTTTCAACCTTTGCTCTTCAACTTTACAACAACTCATCATTTTTTCCACATCCATCGGCTCTTCTCCAAGTTGTCAGACGCACCCTTGCCGAAAAGAAGCAACAGCTGTCTTTGCTGCATCTCAAAGCACCATGAGTGAAGATTTCCCGGACCTGAGTACTCTGCCCTGCCCGGCTTGGGTTTTTACTTATGGTTCCAATACTCAGTAAGGATCGCTTGCTCCTGAACCTCGCTCCCACCAAACACTGCCTGACTCTAAGCTAGCATTGCAAAAGACCGTTATTGGTTTGGCATCGACTACAGGCCAATTACATCCACCGTCACTGACGGCCCCGGAGGTAGTACTGTGTCTGTCATCGGCATTGGCACTGTGAATCTCCCCCTCAAAACGAAGCCCGACGATAGACATCCCGGTAACAGCATCATGACGCTACGGAACGTTCTCCATGCCCCCGATTCCCTATGCAACATGATTGGCGCGCCAGCTATTCATCACTACGAATTTTCCCTACGCGCGGGTCCTGGATTCCGGGGCACCATTTCACTCGGCGATGGCACCCCCGTTGGTTTTTTCGCTCCTCATGCTGTCTTCTTCGAGGTGCAGCTGAGCGATCCTCCCATTGGACCCATCGTCGGCCCTTCACCATTTACCCCCGGCGTCTTTTACTGGATCAATGCCACATGGTCAACTGAGGAGCGCGAAAAGTGGATGCATGGTGTAGGCGCCCTGATGCGCTTCCGCCACCCTGCATGTAACGCAGGAAACGCCCCATTCTCTCTCTGACAGAGAGAAGAGGTGACTGAAAGATTGTTACGGGGCGGATTTCAATGTCTTCGCAGCTTTTGCAAGAGCATCTGCAAAGGCGAGGACCGCGAGCGAGGAAGACGACTTCTGCGCGTCGTGACGAGGGACGACGATGAGAATGACTTTGGGATTGGTTATCAATAGACAGGTCTTTGCTAGCTACAGGAGTTGCGCTTGATGAACGCCAGAGCTTTTCAATGATCAAGGCGGTCCTGCAGGCTGAACATTGCCGCCTGTGCTTCACAGTAATTATTGTCCACATATCATCCGAACAAAAGAATAGCAGAATAAATACCCTGCAACTTGCTTGCCGATATCTCGAGTGATACCAAAACACAGTCTTACGGCAAGCAGGAACATATTCCGAGCTAGTTAGCGCTTGCTGTTTTTTCAGGTGCTGGCCTGAGATGACGGCTGGCAGTTTTCACCATGACATTCCCTCACACATCCGTTATGAGTAGGATGGAGGTCGATCATCATCATGTCTTGAACAAACAAGCTTTGTTGCCCTGCCGTGTGGGCATTGTAAACAATAACAATCCACGACAGCAAAACTGCATGCATTATTCTTATAACTTCATATCTCATTTACCTTTCTCTCGTTACAAGGCCATGTACGCCGAGCACACCCAGCCAGCCAAACCTCGTCAAACAATCAAAAGTATATAGCATCCAAAAATGGATTGATTTGATTTGTTATTCATTCGTTCAATAACAACTGGCCCGCGGACCATTTTCCACCACTCCTCCAATCATTAGACAAAAAAATATTCAACGTAAAAAACATCCAAAGATAGAAATAAGCCACCGAAGAGACTCCTTCCAAAATAAAAAAAAGAAAAGAAAAACAAATATCCAGGTCGCCAATAATACACACACACAAGTCCTCCCGAGGCTGCACGGGTATCATAGCCAACTATTCATTCGAAAATAGTCGTAAAGCGTCAGAGTGATTGCGCATATAGACTTCGTCCTGTAGCTTCGTGCCCTCATTCCGTCATCTCCCAATTGCCTCCCTATAACTGTATAGTTGGGGTATTTTGTATCATCCCAGTCAACCAACCATAAACGCCAACCCCGATGCCCAAACCATGCGCCAACCGTATATTTGTTACATACCCCCTCAGGCTGCAATCACCCCCGCTCCCATTACAGCCGGTGCTTCTGATTCAGCAAATGTGTACTTGTCCATAGGAAAGTCCTCTTCTGGTGTTCGGATACCAATGCCGCTATCATCGTGAGCGTCATTGTCCGCTGGCTGTTGACACGAAGCGTTGTTGGCCTTGCTGTTGTTGCTCACAGGTGGAGGAAACGGCGCGCGGCCGGGCTGCGATTGTGAAAGGTTCAGCTCCTCACTAGCATTTCTGTATCGAGAGTTCTGGCAGCTGGCCTCCTTGCCAGCTGCCTCAACGTTTGGGGTAACATTGACGCTAGGGGATGCCCTCTGCTTCATGAAGCCTCCCTGCTCAGCAATGAAACACACCATTTCATCAACCCACGTCTTTGTCACCCACCATGACCCAAAGCTCTTGCCCTGTGATAGTGTCAAATCACGCATCACGGCAGTGCCGACACGCTCTACACACCACACAATATCGGCGTGGGATGCGTAGGCAAATCTTGACGGCAGTAATCGCAAGAAGTTGACCCATCTGTCCAAAACATTCTGGCCCGTAGAAGCAGCTCCACCCTCGTTTGCTTGCCGAGGATTGCGGCTGGCTGCGTCCCCATAGATAGTTAGCACTTCAACTTCCCATGGAACATTGACAGGATCCAAGAGGTCGCGCATTTCGTTGACCAAAAGGTCGACAACATCGTCCATTCCGCGGGTAGGTACACATTCAGCCACTTTTCGAGCGCGGATCATGGTGATCCAATCCACGTACATCTGGTCGCGGTTGGCGGGGTTGGAAAGCATATTGGCAGCAGCGTGGGCCGTCAAGTTGACTCGCAAAGCACGGTCAATCAGACCAGCGAAAAGAGCAGCAGGTGCCTCCTTGGCAGCAGTGACATGCTGCGGTTGGCCTTGGAATGATTCGCGAATGTGCGGAACAATTCTTTCCGAAATGTTTCTTAGGGTATCGAGAACCGGTTTAGGTACGACTTGCAGAGTCAAGCCAGAGATGATACGCATCATACGCTGGTACAAAACATAGTCGCAACCCTCAATCCAAGGAGCGAGCGCTTCATGGCTAAAAAGTCTTTGTACAGGCATTGTTAGTGTGCCTTGAAAGGATGTATAGAGATGGAAGAACGTCTTTTCTCTGCAGTATCGAATGCATTCAACAAGGGAAGTGCAGTGAGATCGGTACAGAGCAGATAAAGACTTGGCTGCGTCAGGATCAGTGCCCTGGGGAAGAAATGCCTCGATAGTAGGAAGACCAAGGGGCTCAGACTGTTCAAAGTCATCCTGATCAATGGGTGGAAACTCGAGTTCTAGGCGTGTCTTGGTGGAAGTAGACTGAATGTTGTCAATGCTGGCAAGGTCCGGTTGGTTATACAGACTGTGGGACCGGTCAGCAACCTGTGTAATGACCCGCCTGTTTCGCGACTCCTCTATAGGATGTGAGAAGGAATTCGCGCGTTTCGAGCTGTTGGAAGGCTGCGGTGCCGAGCTCTGGCTCTGGGAAAAGCTTTTGACTTCAGAGAGGGCACGAGGTGGCTCGGGAGCCTCCACCAGGTCCATCTGGTCCTCGGCAAGAGCGAAGTTGACATAGTGGTACTTCGACTCTCCACGAACTCCCAGACGACGAGTCTTGAGCCCTGGAAACAAAACGCGGACAAGCTTCCCGAAGCTGGCGGGATTCAGTACCGTGATTCTCTCGGTGGCGCAACGCGAAGCATAATTTGCATAGACTCGGCCGCGAGGAACGGACCCCTTCCCTTTGGTGCAGGTTGAGTTGATCCTGAAAGACACATCAATTAGCTTGCTGGGTTTATATGCACTGTGCTCAACATTCTTACCATAGCATGGCGAAAACCTGGCGGGTTCTTTCTGAGTTGGGGCCGCGCTCATTGCCATGCAGCTCGGAGGCAACATCTTGCAGTCCACGGTGCCTATTGGCGCTGAAGAGCTGCCGCATCTCAAGCTCGTTATTGGCACTCGATCGGGCTGGCTTGGACACACCAGCAGCAAGAGCCATGGAGTCGCCATCGTCACCATCGTCTCGATCGAGCATGTGGCTGTCGCCTTCAGTAAAGCTGGCATTGGGGCCAAATTGGTCGGCAGGAAGAGGGTGTCGAGGCATTCCGTGGGGGTGCTGGTGTTGATAGGCCATGTGATGCATGTGTGCAGCCATGGAGCCGTCCATGGCGAATTCATGGCTGGCGGACTGCATGTGCGTGGCAGCCTGTAGTATCATGTCCTCGGGGGACATTTGAGCAGACATTTCCTTGGCATGGGGGTGCTCGTTGTGCATCCATTGACCGGCATACATGCCAGAATTGTCGGCAAATCCAGAGCCGTCCATGTTATGTTGAGTCGTGGCGCTGTGGATTGAGGCAGTGGAAGCTTGGGATTGGGGTCGCTTCCGAGTTTTGGCAGCGCGCGCTGCGACGGAGTCTGGAAGAAGAGATAGAAATTAGACAAGCCTCAACAAACCAGAAAAGAGTCTGTCGCCATATGGGAGCGAGGTGCGAGACGTACCTTGGTCCATGTCGGGGCTTTGTATATGCTATGTTGTATAGAGACAGGCAAGCTAGCGTGGGACAATAAACATTGGGAGGTTGTTGTTTTTCGACGGGGCCCGGCAGGATAGGGAAGCAGCGACGGCAGAAAGACAAAGAAGAAAGAATCAGAGGAGCGTCTGCGGCGCTTGAAGAATCTCTTTGCAGGGGTGAGCGGCGGTCTATGCGCGCGAGAGGTGGTTTAGATATCGTCGTTTGCAAGTGTTGTTGTGGTTGTTTTCTGTTGCGAGGCCAACGAGAGGAGAAAAAGCACAGAAGCAGCGAGTGGGGACTTTCAGCGAGTCCAGCAGCAAGTCCAGCAGGCTGGATCCGAATTTGGCTGGGGGCTGGCTTGCTGCAAGTGGGGCAGCCAGCCAAAAGCGACAAAGCACAGGCCCTCAAACAAAACAATACGGCTGGACAGGGTTAGGTAAGCATGTAAGCAGGCCTTATCCTACCAGTTAATTTGGCCGAATTCCACGCCTTTGCACTGTCGGGACACACTGTGTTTGCTTGTAACCCCTGCCATCCTTTAGCACTGTGTCACCCGCTGCATTACGAGCGGCACGGTAGCATTACCTAATACTTAATCAAAGTCGTACAGTGCCAATACTGCAGCCTGTTTTGTTATGGTTCATCACCACCTAACGGCCAGCCCGCATCTGGTCCGAGTCAACAACACTCGCCAAGGTATTCTGACCTGCTGTTAGCTCTCATGTCTGTCATCGAGATATTTGCTGATAAACACTCGTAATACTCGTTCCCATCAGGTTACACCATCTTGCCCCGAGGCCTCGACATCGCACCCCGAATATCAAAGTTTGCCCTATGCCCTCTTGGGCACCCAACCCAGCCTTTATCAGCGTCTTTCCTTTTGCAATCCTCTGTCTGCTCTTCCATCTCCTCTCCTGCCCAGTCACAGTAAATATCTTGCCAATGAGGAATAGTAGAGAGCTCTTTTGGGTGTGACGTGTGAGCCACTTGTGCTCACTTCTCAGCCGCGGTCATACCCACAATATCACAAGCCCAATCACTCTGTTAGAGCTCATGTATCAGTATCCAATTTTGACTCGTCACTTGGCTCTCCTGACCCGGTTATCTAAGTACACTCTTGAGCGGCTACCCGACATCCATCAGACCACTGACGTGCGCACTCCTGCAAGGCCCCGTTTCAAAACCCAGATTGCTTAAGCACACGTCAGTACCTAACAAGCTTTCCTCATCGGTATCCTCGAGCAAAGCCACTTACGCTACGTTTTTTGCTCCCACAAACCACTTTTGCTTCGCTTCAACATCGTCGCATCAACCCGCACAATCTACTTGCTCTCGTCATCCCACATACGTCAATTGTATCTCGTTACGCTCCGAGAAAGCACTGACCGAAGCTTTCAAAGCTCTCCCTGCGCAAGCTACCTTCCGCCACCCCGCCAGCCACAAAATGTCTTCCGCTCAGGAAAAGGCTCAAAACTACCTCGGCACTCTCGACAGGGAGGTCAGTTGCATCGCTCAATCCCTCCAATTCGTCTGCGCGGTCATCTAACTCGTAATTCCAGCTGTCCAAGTATCCCGCGCTCAACAACCTGGAGAGACAGGCTGGTGTCCCTAAGGCTTATGCCGTCATTGGTGTCGGCGCCCTCTACTTCTTCCTCATCATCTTCAACCTAGGTGGCCAGCTCCTTACCAACTTTGCTGGCTTCGTCATCCCCGGATACTACTCCCTCGCTGCTCTCTTCACCGACAGCAAGGATGATGACACGCAGTGGCTGACCGTATGTTCTCTTTGCTGCCCTCGAAGACTTGCGACAAAGTATCACGAGAGCTCTTCGCTAACACGTTGCAGTACTGGGTTGTTTTCGCTTTCTTCAGCGTGGTCGAAAGCTTTTTCAACATTGTTTACTGGTTCCCTTTCTACTTTGTCTTCAAGTTTGTCTTCCTCCTGTGGCTGTCTCTCCCCATGTTCCGGTAAGTTGCACAGAGTTGTCCCAATCTAGCAGTATGGACCATCGCTAATGTTGACGCCAGTGGTGCCGAGATTATCTTCCGCTCCTTCCTTGCCCCCACCCTCAGCCGATACTTCAAGGAGGGCTCTTCTAGCGCCAACCTCCGCTCCAAGGCTGACGCCGCCATCAACAAGTCGGATTAGAGGAGTCCAGAACGGCAGGCATGGTCGCAAATACGAAGTCGCTTCTTCAAGCTCCCGGGCCACCGCCACTGCCGCAATCGCAATCGCAACCGCAAGCTGCACGCAGAGTTAATGACCACAGGCCAGCGCATTCAACGTACAGCTACAGGATGCCTGGCAGCGATGATGGATGAGAGTAGAAGTGGAAAGGCTGCATGGAACGAAAGACTTATGATTGGAAATGTGTGAAATGATTTTGTACTTTTCTGTCGAATGCAGTTGATGCCAGATGTCGAAATATCAATTTTTGCCTGGTTCTACACCTTGCCCCATTGCCCGAGTCATGTATGTGCCCATCTCGTGCGGGAGCTGCAATGCCTGCCATCCCCTAGCGTTGCATGCACTGATCACAGCCATGAGACACGTCGATGAATGCTTTGTGCTGAATGATCTAGTTGTTTGGAGTTTGCGCCCCAAATCGCAATGTCGTAAATGCACAATTCAGCTATCTGCAATCTCAGCCATCGACCAGACGCCGTGCTTGGATGGTATGAAGAGGTTTATGATCATGTCGAATCAGAAGATTCATCAGGGAAGAGCGATTTATCTACTCTTGGATCTTCATTTTTAAAATGCTCCCCGAGCGCCGACCTACTAATCAAGTAAGCGACAAGTGGAGGTTGGCTGTGATCTCAAATGAGCATCGCGGAGCGAGTGTGCCGAAACCAAGAAGTCTACACAGCGCTTTTTCGAGGCCATATCCTGCCTACACCGAAATTCCTCATAAATCGTATCAAAAATCACATTTGTCTGTTCAAAACTCCAGTTTTCTTTTGGGTAGGTGGTCGTCGCAGCTTGCTACAGGGGCTTTCACAGTAACGAGGCGGCGCGCCGCGGACCCACGTAGCTTTAACTCCAGAGCCGCCGTCCACCCTAGTCGTCCACGTTGTGAAACGACCAGATTCTTGCCTACAACCGTATCCCCTTTCCTTCGCCAACTACACCTGTCGCAACTAGTCAAAATCATGATGGTATATCAGGCATCACTCTCCGCCCGCCGTTGATCATCTAGCGTGCCTCGCAGCCTTCCATTGACCCTCCCTTCGAGCCGCCGGCGGCCGCCACCATGCCATTCAGGCTCCTGCAGTCGCGGCCGGCAACATCGCTGCTCGCGACGCTTTTTACGATATTCTATACGCTCGCATTTTTACCAGCTGCGTTTGCGACTCTTTCACCCCCAAATGCCGACTCAAACGCCCTCGATGGCCACAATCTCGATCTTGGCGACACGTATGAGCCCAGTTTTGCGCCATTCGACAGTAGCTATCTCGGAAAGAGGGCCAGTGTCATCGGACCCCTCACCAACAATATCCCTGCCAAGTCAAATCTCAGGCCAGGAGAAGCAGCTTGTTTTGAGCTTTCCAAAACGACTCTCTCCGGCGGCAGCCAGGGCGGCGGAACAAACGCTCGTGGCCTCAGTTTCGATACTGCCGACGCAGCGATAAATTCTAGCTCCGAAGCTGGCATTTTCGTGCGCGATGATGGTCAGAATTCTGTCTTTCTGTCTGCAAATACATGTTTGCAGCCGCACCGTGTCCCAGGCGATGACAAGGCGGACATTGAACCGCCACAGCTCACATTGCTCATATCGAATTCGAGCCAGGTGGGGTGTCCTGACATGTCTATGCAGGGCACTGCCAACATTCAGAGAAAAACATTTGACAGCGGCGCAGTCATGTTCAACATGAATTACACAGACAAGTTGTATATCACGGTCCAGGCCCCAAATGTTTCGTCCAGCTATGACGGCGTATACTTCTTTGAGCTGGCAGCTTCTACTCAAGACTACTATCACCGATATGTGAACAAGGACGGTCAATTGCTGTGGCTCGACAGCGATGCGAGCTCGGCTCTTCTGGTCAGCAAGAATCTCACAACTAATGCCGACGAAACGAAGCAAATTATGGAACAAGGCATGCAATACCAGTTCTACATTGATAACGAACTCTACCCCAGGCTTCATGGCGTCAGACACTCCAAGTGTGGTCTCCAAACAAGCGCACAGATCTATGCAACACCGAACGGGACAGGAAACTTGAACCAGCTGGTTCACATGACTATGACGACACGGGGGCCTGGTGGCTTTCCGAAACAACAATTCTTTGTCACCAGTCTAAACGATACAACAGAATATCGTGGTTTTATTATCAAAGTTCCAAACGCGAACGCAGGAAAACGCGACGGAGAGGGGATTGTCGGCGGCGGCGGCACAGTCTTTGCCTCCACGACCTTCAACACTGTCTCAGGTACGTAGACTCAGTTAGTAGGCAACAATACACAGCTAACGCAACGACAGGAACGAGCTGCAAGATGGTAACAGATTTAAAGTTTTGCAACGACATTCAATACGCCATTCCCGGTAATATCGAGAAGTTTACAGGCGAGGACAGCCTTGGACAAAAGTACGACGAATATGCCAAGAAGATGTACGAAAATTTCGAAAAGGCACTTATGCAGGTGCAGTGTGAAGCACCTTCGACCAAGATGTACTCGCTCCTGAAAACCTGCGACGACTGCAGGAGGACGTACAAAAAGTGGCTCTGCACCGTCGTTATGCCCCGGTGCGAGGACTACACCCTCAACAGCCCGCACTCGATTGTGCGCAACGCCGGCCAACCGTTTCCCAACGGAACCCAGCTCCCCGTGGAGGACCTGGCCAAGTACAGCGCGCCCGCCTCCAACACGTCGCGCAACAAGTTCATCGACGACGAGATCGCGCCCGGCCCCTACCGGGAGCTCCTGCCCTGTGATGATCTCTGTTACGATGTGGTGCAGAGCTGCCCGGCGGCGCTCAAGTTTGTGTGCCCGCTGCGAAAATTCCGCGAGTTCAACTCGAGCTACGGGAGACGTGACCCGGACAACAAGGAGGTGACGTGCAACTACCCAGGCGAGCCGCGCACGCGGGTAAGCGCCGCTGCGGGTGTGGTCTACAACACGGCGTTTCTGTGCGGCATGGTGGTACTCGGTGTGGGGTTGCTGTACTGAATTTAACGATAGAACCGGGAAAGCTGGGCTTTCTGCGGTTCTAATGATTTTTGAGTGCATTTTGTTGCATTGCATTGCGGCTGGAGTTTGGCATTTGGCAGGATTTATATATACTACATCAAGATAGAATATTATAATATACGGATCGACATACGGTGCAATGGTTCTAGTTTCTTTGGCAAGTCGATTGGCTTGGTAACATGCTATTATATTGTACATTTTGGTGAGAGTGCGCATTGCGAGTCTCGCCATGCAGTCTGTCAGTCTTCGGACTTTGTGTGCGCTACCCTACTCGGATTCCACCTTGACAACAGCCTTGGACTCCTTGTAATCATTCACCTTTTTCTCCAATGTCTCAATCTCGGCTAAACAATAAAGTTTTAGCATGATACGGTCTCCCGAGGAACGGGCGGTGCTTTGATCGCTAGAGGCCATTGCAGGGTAGTCCATCACTTACCATCAATCTTATCACACGCTTCGTCTGCTTCCAATTTTGACCAGGTCCAGTACGCGACTTGATACGTAAAGACGGCCAGGATCATGACCTTGGCTATGGGCCTTGAAAAGGTCTTGTAGAAACTTGTCTGCGGTTGAACAGTCAGTAGGTGGAATCACCCCGGCGCAACAAGGTCTCTACGTGATTGGCAGGTTGCAGAAGCGCCGCGCGATGCAGTGACTGCGATATACAAGCATACAGCAAAGGAAAAGCAGCGCAGTGGCAGAAGGGGATGGTCTTACGGTAGGGTTGGCCGACTGTTCTGTGGCATATGTTCTTGAAGGGACCAATTGACGGCGCAAGGTAGGCAGGCGACGAACAGCCGTCGCAGCGCGTATTGAGAACATTTCGGAGTTTAAAAGTCTAGAGATCCTCGGATATCTTCAGAAGGAAATTCTCCCCGAGTTCTTCCAAATTCTTCCCGATGCTGGATCTCTGGGCGTTGGCAGACTTGATGAGCAAAAGACAGTCGCGATTATTAGGAGGTTATTCTCAGCGCGAAAGTAGAATGTGGCGCTGCCCCCAAAGACTCGCACCGCCACGGCTCCCCACTATGCGGCGCTCTGTGGGGTACAGCTTAGGGGCCAGATGTCAAGGCGCACCTTGCCTTTCCGAGCGAGTAATGGGCCGACTCCCTGGATTGACGACACTTGTCCAAAGGCCCTTCAGACCCAAACCTTGTCCTTGGTCTAGAAAACTGAACACATTGCTCACTTACGCGTGTCAATTGCGATACAGTCATACCGAAGATTCGAAAAACTTCCCCGACAACTGCTCCGGCTCCCGCACTTTCGAGTCTTTCAAACGTATACCTGTTCAGTGCCACGCGCCACCCGCATACTTAGGAGCTCCTCCATTTATTTCAATTCCAAACGTCCCTCTCCGTTCAACCGCGACACAACAACCCACACCTCACCTCCCCTCAACCGGACGTCGTCGCATAGCACATATACTCAAAATGGTACGTCATGTGAAGTGGGCATTTTTGGCTGCTCGCCTTTTGCGCAATCAGCTGTGGCGCAACCTGATGCACCGCATTCCTATCAAAGGGGATGATGGCCTCCTGTCCATAGAACCTCGAGGGCTAACCAAAGGGCACCCCCTTTCTACAGGCGCAAACTCCCGAACAGCGACGCCGCAATGCCAAATTCGCCAAGGACCAGGAGAGCCGCATGGGAAAGTCCATTGACCAAATCAAGAAGCGCGAAAAGGCCGTCCAGAAGCCCACCATCTCTCCATTTTGGATTGGTACGTAACCGCAACAACCTCGTCGATCTGCGCGCCATCTGCCGATGTTCCGTGTCTACAATTGAAGGAGACTGTATTTTCTTGTATATTCAGAACTGGCGAAGACCGCGTCCTGCTCTCTTCTTGACAAGCACCACCCGCTAGTCATGGCATTTACGTCTTCGTTAGAGGGGATGGGAGCCGAACGATTAGCCTGATTCCACCGGCGCATCTTCTATTCAACATGTATCCTGTTCATGAGTCTTTGGTGACCATGAAGATGCTACTGGGAGAGGAAGGAGATGCGCAGGCAGATTCTGGCGGCACTGCCCAAGGCTGAGAAGCAAATGAGGGCCGAAGCAGACTGCTTCTGACTGAGACGTGAACTTTGGCAGACCTACACGACTACAATGATTCTTTGCGTATCAAACAAGCTAACACTGTCTTTGCACTAGTTCTTCTCGCCTTTGTTGTCTTTGGCGGCCTAATCTTCGAGGTCATCGCCCGCTGGTGGGGTCAATAAACGACGAGCGCACTATAATTATAGCCATGTGGGAGTCTGGGGCAACGATAAAAAGCAAACTTCGAGACATTCTAGTTACGTGAGAAAGGATCAAGGATGAGTTCTGCGCTGTATGTTTCGGTTGCTAGAAGACTCGGAGCACCATAATATGTTGTGGCTGGCTGTCATTGCCCACCTTGAGTTGATGTTTTGAGTCAGCATGCCTAGCCCATCTTGATCTTGTCTTGTCAAGCTGGCAAACAGCGACATTTGAAGGAGCGCTTGCCGTGGTCGGAAAAAGGTCGCGCAGGTAGAGGGGGACCGTGGAATTGGGAGACATGCATTACATAAAATGTGAGGCGTCGTAGAGCCGAAAGCGATACAATTTGAACAAATTCAATTTCTTAATGCTCAATCTGGCCAAGATGGTTCGCATAGTGACGTTGGCCATGTCGCTATTCGCATTTGCAGAAAGATCAACGCAAGATATACAAAAACGGGTTTCATGCCAATTTCGCGCCCTGATATATGTGTACATGTCTTTCTTCCCTTTCCTCCATCAACCCACATCCCGGATTCTGCTTCTTGCACTCAACCGCTCAGACCAAGACCGCGACGGTGGCCCCCGCCGTCATTCTTCATCTTCATGCCTTCCTCAAACTGGCGCTGAATTTCGGCCTCGGCCCTAGTCGACTCGGACGTGCTCTTGCTGCTGCTGCCGCCGCCGCCGCCACCGCCGCCGCTGGCAGATGACAGGCTCATGCCCTGCTTCTTGCCGCCCAGAAGCCGCAGAAACTTGCTCTGCCGGGCGGATCCACCGTCGAGGTCCGTGACGTGCCAGCTCTCGGGCTTGCTGCCGCCGCCGCCGGCTGCCGCGGCGGGCGTGTCATCCTCAGTCTCTTCATCACTGTCACTGTCGCTGTCACCGTCGCTGTCCGATTTTTTGGCCGCTTTCTTTTGATTTTTCTTTTTCGCCTGTTTCTTATCCTTTTTGTCCTTGATCTTCTTCACCATTTTGTCTTTTTTGGCCTGCTTTGACTTTTTCTCGGCGGCCTTTTGATCGGCCTCGCTGTCCTCCGAGTCACTGCTGCTGCTGCTGCTGCTACTGCTGGTGTCGTCGTCGGACGATGATGATGACGACGACAACGAGTCTTTGCGCTTTCGCTTGCGCTCGGGCTTGACCTTTTCCTTTTGGCTGTTTTTACTGAGCTTGGCCTTGGGTGGGAGAGCCTTTCCGCCATCTTCTGAGCTGGAATCAGAAGACGAGCTCGTGGACCCCGAAGATGGTGTGAGGATATCTTTGTCCGATTCACTCTGTCGCCGGGTGTGTCAGCTGCCATTAGAGACATCACCTTGAAAACCAAAACATACCTCTGACGATGTGTCGTCGTCGTCGTCGTTGTCAACCTTTAGTGACTCGCCCAACTCTGCATACTTGTCCGCCGCCTTTTTGGCTTCGGCGAGCAGCTTGTGCGCCTCCTTCTTCAGCTCCTGTGAGCGTGCCAGCAACTTTGCTCTCTTCTTCTCGATCATGGCAGTATCCTCCCGGGCCGTCTTCTTGCCTGCCTTGAATTTGCCCTCTGCCTTTTTTGAGCCCTTCTTCGTCGGCTTAGGCTTGCTCGTCTTGAGCTTGGCACCAGCCATGACGTCCGATATTCTGCGCCGTCAGTCTACTGTGGGAATCCGTTGAGGAAGATCTTAGCGCCCAGGGCACCCAGCTAAGTGCTCATGCGTCACGGAGCTCTCTACGAATGAGGGAAAAAAAAGAATAATAGTCAGAACAGAATCCACACAGTCGGGTGCAAACATAGGAGCATGCGAGTGAATGTACCTTTGATCCTCAATACAGGCAACTTCAGAACCCAGTTATCGCGAGCGTGAGGCTGAATTGGGGCAAATGCGGCGTGGTCTAGAAAACCCCTTTACCGAGTGCGATAAATCGCTGCGCTTCCAAATGAGTATCTGGGAGAAAGGCTCGGGGCGTGATGAAATGATTGAATCAAGGCGTTCGTCAAGAAGAAACGACCTCAAGTTAAAGCTGGTCCGATGTTTTTCACTGCCCGACAAACATACGAAAGTGTGGGGCAAGCTTTCGGGGCGTTTCTGCCAGGCGGTGGAGCTGTTGACAGCACGCGAGCAGCGAAATAACGGTGCCAAGAGCATTTGAATAATTGATTCGTCGTTAATTTAGCGAGAGTCATCTAAAAAGCAAAAGCACATTGATGTGAAAAAAGTTCCAGGTCTTGAGCCGTCATCGTTTTTGGCTCTCGATGCACGTTCTTGGTGCCAATCATGTAAGTCAACGGCTGGGCCCATCCAATGATTCAAAAGTGGCCCAGCGGCGCCGTTTGTCTTTCGGCACCATCCGCCTCGAATCGAAATGTTTTTTGAATCGTGTCAAAGTATACTCGAGATTGGCTTTGAAGGGTGGTACTTGTCATGTATGATGTGGGATTCTTCCTCGCGTACCTGACGCTCATTTTGTTTCCCGAGACGTGTAATTCTCGATCCTCGCGAGATGGTAAAAACATCTCAAGGCTTGTCGCATGCCTGATTTCTTTTTTTGGCCCGAATGGCTCAAATGAGGATTGCTGGAGGGCCCATTGGCATCAAAGTGGAGGGGTGTGTATTAGTTGAGTGGTCTCTTAGTGTCGGGGCTAAGTTCGAGGCTGCAACTAAATTGAGCCAGCAGTGCGAGCTGAAATACTACGAACCAAATGAAGCATCACAGGGGGGGGCAGGGGGGGCAGCCGAGTTCCCTGCAATGGCCCGATCAAAAAGGTCAAGGGAAAGATTGACCTCGAGTCCCATAAGCAAATTGCGGACAGATCGTAGATTTCACGGCCAGAGGCTGAGACCTTGAGCTGTCGCCATTGGTAGTTAGACGAGCATACACCTTCAACTTGGCCGTTTCCTTTTTTTTACGTCACTCACCTGCAACAGTCACCTGAAGCCAGTCCCGCAAAGACACATATTGTCCGGGGGAGAGAGACATTGAGCCCGGTGGCGCAACGCCCCAGGGCCTGCCTATATCATACACCGCCCACGGCGGCCACCAACCTGCCACTGCGGCTTGGCAAAAAAGATGCAACTAATACCACATGTTTTTGCGGTTGGTTCGACGGGAAACGGTGAATGACGGGGAAAAAAAACATTGCAAAAGGTCTTTGAAGTGGGACCCTGACTTTGATTGCTGCAGTCATGCCATCTTTTTGCCGATGAATGGTTGCATAATTCTTGTAGCGGTCGGCTAATTCTCCTCCGTCTTGCATCTTTGTGCACACCAGTTGTTCAGCCGCATTGTGGTGGGAAAGCTGTTTGATACAAAAAGGTGACCACTTGTTTGAAAGAGAGCGTGGCCCGCCACGACTCATCAACACAAGAACCAAAGTAAAAATATTGAGAATGAGACTGCTTTATATATAGGCTTTAAATTTTGCGCGAAAGGGTTGTTTATGCTCCATGTCGCGAATTAGAGCTTCTGTTCCTGCTTTGGTACTGATGATTGTATTTCTGCATGGTCGCGTGGCAGAAAGGAACTTGCCAAGCCCCGAGGCTGCATCTTCAGCCTCTCGTACCCCATGTCATTCCATCATGCGACTTTTTCTCTCTTTCGTTGTGCTTCCAGCCAATGGCGCATTTGAAAAAGTCTTGAATTAGCTTTCTCTCCAGCTTCCTTCCTCGGGCGCAAGGGGGGGCGTGTGAGCAATATGGATGGACCCGGACCACCAACGTGAATACGATAAGTCGACGACAGCCCTAGTTTTAGCCTGCTGGTAGCCCATGTATGATTGTACCCATGCTCAGAGTAACTAAACGTTTGGGGTCCGAAAGATCCCTGTAGGGGAGGAGATGCATGGGGCCGTGACTTGGCCCTCTGATGAAAACGAAGAGATGCGAAGAAATTGTGCCGGCAGTGATTCATCGCTGAATGTGGGCAGACCCAAAGAGTTGCGGCCGGTTCGGACGTGGCACTTCAAATGACGACGCCACAGTGTGTTGAGTGTGCATGAGCGGTTTCCCTGCCGTGTGTACAGGGCTGAGGGAGCTAAATTATGCAACGTATGCATCGGGTTAAAAATGGCACGGTGACGAGGAGGAATTTAGGATGCCTGCGGTGAACGGGAGGCTGTGGCGATGCCTCCCACCAGAGGCGTCGAGCCACAGAATGTGCATGGTAAGCCGGCAATCGAGAGAACATACATACATACGGCATATCGTAAAATCATGATCCATGTACGGAGTACTCGATGGCAGCTTGCCCTAAGAAACATCTATACTTTGAAGAGGTATACTTGAAAGAGGTAGAATAAAGTGAGGTCCCGAAATAACTGCAGATAGATTGCTGCAAGTCAAACAAACAAGAAGAATATACATCGCTCAAAGGGCTGCCGACCGTACAAAAAAAAAGCAAAAACACGCTGTTGTTCAATCGCTGTCTAGTTTCCGCTCTTGCCCTTCTGTAACCGTAAAACGCCAAATTCATCAAATCCCATATTCACTGCAGCCGTTTGTTAGCGAGTCGCAGACTTTTTGCCGTGCACATCCACGAAGAAAAAAAAAAAAACATACAAGAATGATCATCATTGCGTGAGAATTAAGATTGCGTGAAAAATGCCGGCATCAGAGGCGGACCAATGCCGTAAAAATATGGCGAATCCTCCATTACTTGACCCTCGGAGGCGGCGGCGGCGGCGACACCGTAACTGACGGGCTGGGCGGCTACCTGGCCATACGATGCGAGGGTGTAGTTGTTGATGTTGTTGTTGCTGGACTTGTTGCTGGACCTGTTGCTGCTGGCATCGCCGTTGTAGGTATTGCGCCCGCTGCTGCTGCGCTTGCTCTCGGCCTCGTGGCCTCGCGACACGACGTGGCCCAGGCTGACGCTGCCCCATGGCAGACCGGACACGGTGCCGTCGCCCATGATGTCGGTCGCGGTGGGAATGCGATAGCTGTTGCCGGCGTGCTCTAAATCTCGCATCTGGCGCTCTTTAATCTCTCTGTTTTCTCTCGCCTTTTCTCCTGAGGGCGAGGGAAGGAGGCGCAAGGACCTAGAGTCAGCAACATACACACACACTGGCAAGTGTTTACTCGATTCCTAAGGGATATCGAGAAACTTACGAAATTTGCGTTGCGCAATGCGATTTTGAATGCGTCGACGCTGCTCAGGATCGGTAATATCGGCCCAGTGTGGATCTTTGACGCTGGTTTTGGCCTTTTTCTTTGGGGATACAGGCGAGTTTTGGGAGCTGTGTGAGCCTTCTCCCGACATGTGAGACGACATGATGTGTCCAGAGTATATGTTGGCCCCTTGCTGCTATATGATTCGGAGACAGAATACGAAGCCCAAGAGCTGTACGAGGGCATGGAGGATGTTCTTGTTTGGGAACAGAGCAAGGGAAATGTGCGGCAGAAGAGTGTATATCGTGGTTGCAGCTCAGAGTCTTGTGCTCAGGTGGTGTGTCATACATGCGCGTGCATATCGAGTTGTATCGTAGGCTGGCGTAGGGCTTGGACTGTACCGAATAGGTCAACGCAATATAAGAAAACGAGTCCAAGTAGTAATAAGTGTGGCGTTGTGTGTGTTGCAAGTTATACAAGTAAAGAGAATAAGAAAGCCCCGGATAAGAGCGACTACCGCTGTCTAATAACTTTGCAGCATCTGGAAACAAAATTATGCCTGGGTGTCAAAAGAAATTCATCCTTCTTCTTCTTGTATACACACACCCCTTTGTCGAAGTACAAAGTTACTGGATGAAGGGGGATCTGCAAGCCAGGCCCAGAGCCTGCGCTAGGCAGATTATGGGCATCTTGACCGGTAGGGCAGAAGAGAGTCAATAGGTACAGTACTCAGTAGACATGCTGGATGGAGACTGAGCTGGCGGCTGGCGGCAGGCACCGGGATGATAGGGGAAAATGTCCAGCTGGGGGCCAATCAACCACTGCAACAATCGAAACTCGGCAGAGAATGAGGCGGGCGGCCAGGGTGTTCGGAGGACAAGTTTGGGGAGGGGTTGAGGGGTTGAGTGGTTTGGAGGGGTGTGAATGAAGATGGGGCAAAGAGCGGACGGGGCTGAGGCGTTGGATTGGTGGGAGAACTAAGAACTAATAACTAGGAGCTGCAGCCTGCCAGTAACAACTTATTTATTAGGTAGCTGTCTTGCTGGTTGCCTGGTTGCCTGGTTGCCTGCGTGCTTCTCAGGAAAGAGCCGCGCTGCACCCCATCCCCAACCATGCCAGGTACAGTAGCAATGAGGGCTGTCAATGAGAGGCTGTGGCAATAACTAATAGACGATCCATCCTCGTATACAAAAAAAAAAGTGCCCTCGGAAGCCGAATTTGGCAATAATAGTGCACGGCCGATATTCAAACCGCAAGATGCATTGCGCAGGCGGAGCCTGTGAGAAGCCACCAAGATGCCAAGCACTGACAGACAGCATGCTGTTGCGAACAGAGGCAGCTAAAGCATCAATAGTGAAGCAGAACCTGGATTGTCGGTATCGGCCAAGTCATGAAAGTTTATCAACCAACCCGGTGAGCTAGAAAACAGCAGAGGCTTGCTATCGCCATGGACATGAAACTTTCAATTATATTGCGTCTTCTACTTCGGCTCTCGAAACGAAGAACGGCGAGCCAAGACGGGTTCTTTGATATGACGCTAGATCATCCAGAAGAGATTCCAGAAAGAGACTCATCTAACGAGTTTGTGGCGCCGAAAGAAAAATTTAAAAAAAAAAAAAAATCGTCTTGTAGATTTGAAACCCAAGACCTTGTCCTTGTCCGGGTGGCTTTTCTTTGACGTGGGTTTAATGCGAGCGACGGCGCGAGGCTGCTGGTGGCTGAATCTTGCCAGCCTGTTGATGAAGGAGCCTGGAATGACGACGGACGTAGTAGACGAGGTACGATAAAACACAAAGCTGCCGGTACTTGAAAGGGAGTGTTCAAGAGGGGGGGTGGCCAAGAAATATTTTAGCGAGATGTTTGATAATTTACCAGGGTTACCACCGATGAAAACGGCGCTCGGAAGCCGGGGGGGCTCTATTGCCCCGCGGGCTGTAACGAGGTCCGTCGCCGTGACCCGGTGCGCAAAGTCCTGTGTATGTATGTGCCCGGGGCGCCGTCAAGTGGAAACTCGGCTCGTGAATAGCTTTCTTTCTCAAGGAGGGGTGTGTGTGTTGTATGTGTGTGTGTGTGTGTCTTGTACCGAAATGTACCATGGCATATTTTCCCCTTCATTTTCGTGCTAGCAATGGAAGACGGCGCTCTGCTTGTGAAGTTGTGACAAAATGCCCTCTTTGGTCATGCTAATTAGTGGCATTTACCCGGGCAGCCGTGAGCATAGCCACCACACCAAAAAGTTGCAGGCGCGTTCAATATGATAACTAGGTATGTATCCTGTTACCTGCCATTGATAAGCCTCTGCCGGTAAATGCCGTAATCTGGATTGGCTCAACTGAAATGGGAATGCGAGGCGCGAGGCTCCAGGCTGCACCCGACGCCCCAACGACGCGACCAGCCACATGACACGAGATGTCTACCTCTTGAAGACTGAAAAAGGCTAAGAAAAAAAAGAAAGAAAAAAAAAAAAAGTACGTGATAGGTGAGTTGATTTGAGAGCCAAGAAAAAAACTCATTGATACATACATGATGGATTTGTAAGATGTACGGGTGATGTGATTGCGTGGCGCATCTGGGCTTGCTTGCATTGACTACCTAGGTACGGAGTATGTAGTTGGACGGTAAACCACTTTGACAGCGGACAACCGAGCGCTGCGGGTGCTAAAACAACTACTTGTAACCGTATGGGGCATTATTTGCACGACAGCCGTGCCGTGTGGCGGCCGGCTTCTAACATGGGCATCCTAGCAATGCGAGAAATACGAAACTGCGAATAGCCGCTTTTTTCTGCTATCTAGGTAGGCAACTAGTTAGGTACCTTGGCAACTTGGGCAGGCCGCAGGCCCAAGAGGCTGCGATTTAGCGTCGATGACGGCCCTGGTTTTTTCAGCCCCCAAGATGAGTCAACAAAGATGTCCCTTTCGTGGGCCATCCTGTCCACTTTTGACCGATGCAAGTTCAATACAGTAAAAAAAGCTTATTGATGGCTAGAATAAAAAAGCGTAAGATGCATCTAGAATCCTCGATCATGTTGTGCTCAGCGGTTCTCATCTCCTTTCATGACATGTGTATCCGCTACGAAGCCTAGGCGTCTTACACTGTAAATACGACCCAAATGCAAGTCTGCAGCAAGTTAAAGTGTCGCAGGATTGGGGCAACCAACCTTCAACGGCGTCAACTCCACGTGGCAAAGCAGCCTTGAATCTAGGCTTTTCAGCTCGCCAACAGTAGCGCTACCTTTAGGTGGAGAGGGTTGCTTTGGAAGCTCTATCATTGCCTGTCTCATTGGCCGAAAGGGTCCTGGGTGGCACAACTTTCTTGATCCGTGCCTACATAAAACAGTGCAAGCTCGCCGTCCGAGAGCCCTGTCCCAACTTTCTTTTCAGTCTAATAGGTAATCAACGGCTACCTAGCAGATCGGGTTAGAAGCTTTTGGTTGCCTGCCGCGGGCTAACACCCGGACGTGCGGTTTTTTTTTTATCTTTGCCTCGAACCAAAAGTGACTGCCTGGGGGACCTAGACTTTAGATAAATAAATGCTCAATCACTCAAAAGTGTATGCTTGGTGCTCTGCAGACGCTGATGCAATTCAATGACTGCTCTTAACCGGACTTGAAACTGCATTCAACAAGATGCACGCTTGGAAACACAGATACAATAATAACGTTGATTAATGACAAGGAGGCGTTGCGTGCCTCACATGTAGACGGCCGAGATAAGCCTCGATTCACGACTTTCCAAATCGAGCACAATTGGGGGAGCTTTTACGATGAGCGCCACTTGACTTGCCGTTATCCACATCACGCACGCCAGCCTCATGATGATGAGATTCTCCGCTTTCCACCTAATGCCTCAAGCAGTCACATGTCATGCAATCTACCATCAATGTCGCTATTCCCGTGGCTGAGATCTTCCCGCCACAAAACGCACCAGTCGCCTGCCTATGTATTGAGCACGGAAAGAGTCGGCGAACAGAACTTGTGGCGCGAACTGTTATCGTAGTGAGTGTTGAAAATCGACTCGTAGTTTCAGATCCCTAACGAATGTCTCTGGTACCTTGCAGTACGCCCGCCATTGCTCCCCCACGTGTTTCGACGTGTTTTCGGCCCGTGTGAAGGAGGGGAGACGGGCAACATGAATGAGGGAGACGTTGAAGAACAGGGTCGTTTGCGAGAAAAGTGGAAAAAACAATTGACAGTGCTCCATGTGAGTCTCGCGAAGAGGTACAAGCGTAGATAAACCCACCTTTCTGTTTACAAACTAGACGGGGAGGAAGTGAAGGGTTGTACTTGCAATTGCAGTCTGAGCAATCTACACATTTACCAATCACCATTGGCGCAATAAAGCATCACCACTCAGAATTCTGAGCGTGCTTTTCCTCTCCTTTGATTACCAGTTCTTCTTTAGACTTGATCAAAGAACCGCGGCTCCAAAGAGGTGGAGCTAGTTGTTCAGCTGAGGCGTCACAACAAACCATTGTTTGTCAGACTTGGAACCCAATCGCTGAATCAGGCCCAAGGGGGAAATATTTCGAGTAAAATTCGGGGCTCAAATCTAGACTCGGGCGATATGGCCTCGTGAACTCGCGAGCTGTCGACTCAGACTGCGTCGATTTCAAGTTCTGTCATCCCTCATTGGTGTGTTGTTGGCAAATAGGCGAACTGCGGCGTAGAAAAAAGTTCGACACAACTTTATTTCGCCGATCACCGTTGCAATTGCGACGGCGGTGCGCATAACTAGGACAACGGGAAATTTTTAAAAATGGCCCAACTTCAGATCTTTGGAAGACTGGGCAAACTTGTTCCGCAACCCCTGTCAAGAAACAAGACAGCGGCCAACTCGCCGCATCATCCCGAATTCCCACAAGGTATATTGAATTGCCTGGTGCCAAAGTTAAGGCGTCAAATTGCTTTCTATTCTGTCTACTAATCAGCGGACCCTTTAAGTCGTCGAGGCGAGAATAGCCTTGGCAGTAGACCCAAAATGATACCATGTCAACTAGTTTAAAACTTTCGACTTGAAGTCGAAAGGAAGACTTTCATAAACTACGCGGGAGTATCGTTTTGGGGGCGGACAAGTAGGAACAATCAGCCACTTCTACCAAGGTTTTGCGCCACTGCCTCGAACAATTCTCTCGCTATAGATAAAAAAATTGTGCAAAGCAAATCACGACGTCGGGCGGGTTTGTGCCAACAACCTGTGCGAGAAGCGGTGGCGGTGGCGGCGCCGGGGGGGCATTGGTTCACGATTATATGAACAAGTTCAAGCATAGCAGGCATTCGACGCCATTTTCAGGCAAGTCCCGAATCTCCCTTGCGGCACTTCATGAGAAGCCACAACGGTAAAGTTTTGGTGACGCCCGGGCCGCTAACAACACCGATGAGCTTTCCCACATTAGTCTTGCCGATCGACTATTGGAAAAGACGACCGAGAGGGCGCACTGGTATAAATATGTACGTTTGATGAAAGAAAAAAGGACACGATAGGGAAACGCCAACCGGGCCTTGCGATGCGCGGGACGCTAATAGTTTAAGGGCGCAAAGGGGCTTGTTAAATAACATCTTCACGCCGTCAGCATGGGCCGACGCAGATGGGGGTTTTTGGACAAGGTAATCGGAGAGAGCTAGGGAAGGGGGATAACTTTAATTCTTCGCCAAGGAGCAACAGTTCCAGGGAAAAAATAAAAATAGGTCCAATGCCGAACAAAGTCTAGTAAATGACGGAAAGGTCTTTGCTCGGCTGCCATCGAAAGTGGGCAGAGCTGAATAAAAAAAATGGTAACCATTTTAATGTGAGGCTAGGGTCGTAGCGGCGGAGTAGAAGAAAGAAAGGGTGCACCTCGCCTCGGCTGAGAGTTCAAGCCACTGTGCGCTGATCAAATCATATGACATACAATCGCGATGGCTATGGAGAGTACTCTGCAGGTATCGCTGGGTTGAAAGAAAGGCTACCTTATTATATATCATGTGCTGCAAATACGAGCAGGCTTGCAAGAGGGGGCGCAGTTAGCCTGTGAACCGACTACCACGCGTTGAATGGTCGAAAACGAAGACGTAATGGATTGAAGCTAATTGCACCAGATTCTGAACCTGAATGTCCTTTGTGTATATTCTATAACGAAAGGTCAGCCTTGTGGGATCCAGAGAATGCTTTGCAAAGACAACCTCTTTCAACCAGCGCAATCGAAAAGGCTCTGATAACGTCGACTACCCACTTGCGGGCCACACCCACATTTAGGCCACCAATTTTAGTATAGCTATACTAAAATAAAATCTTATATAATAAAATAAGGAAAATATATTATAATTATTTAAAATATTATAGAGATAACTATTGAGGTTATAATTATATAAATAATACTATTAAAAAGCCTTACTTTTCCTAATTATAATAAACCTACTTTTATCTCTATTAGACTAAAAATAGTTAAGTTATAGCTAAGTATTATATTTAACCTATAAATATTAAACCTTTACTATTTTTAGCTAAAATATATAATATTATTAAACTTAGATAAAGGTTTAGATTTAAATAGACCTTTTAGTTAATTATCTATATAAAGGAGGCTTTTTTTTCTATAAAAAAAGCTACTTTAAAATAATAATTATACTCTTTATCCTTTTATTAACCTATTATTTCATCTACTTCCTATAATATATTACCTTTTACTTTATAATAACCTCATATACCTTTTTAAAGAAAAGCTTAAGGAAGATAGGTTTTTTATTTTTATTTTTTTAGGTTTTTAATTAAGATAATAAAGATATTTTTCAAAAAAGGGAAATATTATCTTAATTTTAAATAAAGGAGATCTTCTTATAGTAAATTATAAAAAAGAAGATCTAATATAGTAGTCTAAATACTATATTAAATATAAATACTTAAGGACTTTTTTCTTAATTAATATAGATTAATAGAATTAAATCTAATTAGCTAGTTTTTATTAATCTAACTATTTAAAGTTTTTAAATTATTAATTAATATTAATATAGTTAATAAGTAAGTACAGCGTAGATAA